TTTCGCAATAGTAATTTAAAAAAAAATCGAAGAAATACCTAAGCCGCAGAAGGGTCGCGTGGTGGACTATGCCCTGATACCATCTGTACAGAGGAGGCCTTTGCCCAGCAGTGGGACATGTATATGCTGATACTTTTACTATAAAAACTCTATTGTATGATGGTTAATATTTAATACATATTTTATCTATACTCACGATTAACCGCGGCCAGTATGTCGTCAAGAACTTGGCGCTTAGCACCTTCCCTCTGATCTTCGAAAAGGTAATGGGTTTCACGGTATCAGAATATTCAACGGGCATCGCCAGACGCAGCAGTGCAATGTCAAGGCTTGGACTCTTGTACTGATAGGATGGGTGTATCTCAACGCTCTTGATCGGTACCAGTGAGCCGCCCTTCTTGCAATTCACAGTCCCCAGTCTCACCCTGAAGAACTTTATCGATTCTCGGACACTGAAAACGAAAATTGTACCAGACCACGTATAAGACCAATTGAAAGACAATGCAATGTTTGATCGGAGGTTCTAGAAGCATGTAGTTTTACTTCAAACTTCAAATGCGAATATAAGGGGGTAGACAAAGATGTATATTTACTAAACTGGCTATATTTGTCACAAATCTCACAGATCTGATTGGTAATTTCGTATCACGCCAATAAATTTGAGATTTAAAATTGAGATCTGGGATAAAGCTTGAGACTTTAGATTGAGAGACGCCACTTACTCCTACTGGATCACAACCGCCTCCAACTAATAATTAGAAACATCCAGTACTAGTCTAGACCAGTATTGAATGCTTCTAATTCAAAACAAATGTTACGGAAGAGTATTGTTAAGAAAATAGTTTAAACAAACGCCAAGATAACACAAACAAGTAGGTTTAACATAAGACGGAGGTTATTTATACTATTCAATTCCAAATAAAATTGCACAAAAAAAAGGAAAAGTTTTCTGCACTTGAGAAACAAATACAACAAACAATTGTCGCATATAGCTAAGAACCAAACCTGTGACCCTGGCTCGCCACATTCATTCTTATAAGCCTTCATTTTGTAATAGCAGAGGCACTTTATCATTTCTTCACCTGAGGGCTTGCAGATGCATTGACAGCCATTAAAATAAGTGGGCCCTGGCTACCTAACTCACCATATGAATCGCGAAAGTACCGTACTTCCCCAGACGAGCCTGCCCGTTCGTGCAACAGCCGAAGCTGTTGCATGGCCCTGCCACATTAAATTATTAACGCATTAAGTACTCATATAATAAAACTAGCAGTAACCAGTGGCATTACCAAACAAATACGCGTATTATATATAGCATGAAAAGAACACATCTGCATCTCTGAAAAAAAAAAGTCTTTCTTCAGCTTTCTTACGTTAAAATGGTTAAATGTCCAAATGCTGGCGTGATCGGTCATTTTGAGGAAAGCTAATGGCTTATTTGAGACTTCTTGCAAATAAAAATTTAAATAAAGTTTCAATATTCTATCTACAGATAGATTTGGTTTCTGGTTTTTAACATTAGCTCCACAATAATGTCAAAGTTCTATCTTCCAATCTATCTGTGGATAGAATATTTAAATCGGCCGTATGCAAAGAAATAGAGAACGATACTCACTTGTAAAACTCTCCGGCGACTGTGAGAACCCATCTCTTGTTTAGCAACGCACCAGTCGAGTAATGCACACCCTTCCTTTGTATGGACACCGTGAACGGATATCTGCGGGACTTGCTTTTGATTTTGGACGAGTTTCTATTATCGCTAACCGCATGGTTAGGACAGTTTTTACTATTCCCGTCTGCAGAAAAATAGAAAACAATTTAAATTGGTCTATCATATAAGTCAATCGTCTTAAACGATATTGTATACGTCACTGTAGAGGGCAGAAATAGCAAATACACGAATATTCATGATAATTTAAAAAAATTAACATGAAATAAGAACGTAATGAAGGGGCTAAATATATTGAATGATAGCTAAATATTTTAAAAAAGGACTGTGTTTTATATTTATAATACCTAGGGAAGGCCCTACAGTGCACAACTAATACCCAATTATTTATATGTATCAAGGAATTAAGTAGTACACTAAGGTTTTATTAAATTCATACGTAAAAAAACATTTAAAAAGTTGCAACATAAAATTTATAGCGCAAGTAAAAAATTAAAATGGAATTTTGTTATTTTATGTAGATATGGGATGCTTTGTGTTATTATTTTATGCTATTTTATGTAGATATGGGATGTTTTGTAGTTTTTTAGCTTAGTGTAAGCTAAAAGACTATAAAAGCAATGTTTAATGTGCTATTGGAAATGGGTGTTCCTCCACATCTTACTTTCCTGATACAGAATTTGTACCTTGAGGGCTCCTGCTTTGTGAAGCTGGAAAACCAAAAATCCAAGTCATTCCATGCAGAACGAGGCGTGCGTCTGGGTTGCATATTATCACCAAAACTGTTTAACTTGTATGGCGAACACATTATGAGAAAAGCTTTGGATGAATGGAAAGGCGGCATTACCCTAGGCGGACACAAGATTACGAACTTGAGGTTTGCAGACGACACTACCTTAGTTGCGTCAAGTGAAGTGGAGATGGCTATTCTTCTGAAGAAAATTGAAGAAGAAAGTGCCAAGCTCGGTCTTAAGATCAACCGTTCAAAATCCAAAGTAATGGTGGTAGATAGAGCAAATATACTCCCAATCAGCGACGCACTCGATGGCTATCAAAAAGTCACTGAATTTGTGTACCTTGGGTCCTTGATTACATGTGAAGGCAGCTGTACGGAAGAAATCCCCCGTAGATCCGGTATGGCTAAGAGTGCTATGGCTAACCTCGAAAAAATATGGAAAAGTAGAAGTGTTCGGAGAGGACATCTCCTTTTCTTAGCCTCTAGAGCGGATGACAGTCAACAACGTTCGCTGACTGGGCTGGAGCAGTTGCTAAGCTATCCGGGATTCTCATAGTCAAGTGGTGCTTAGAAATCATGGCTTGGTCCTCGTGGTAATGCCAAGATAAACCCATACTGGGCCAGCCTGTCGTAAGATGCCGGCGAAAAGCGCTGATCAATTTTATTTAATCATAGCGACCGAAACGTGGTGAGTGCCGGGGTCCTGTATCAGTTCAGTTAGAAGGGGCCGGGCGGCTGCTTCTTAGCACTGGCTCTCCTGGCCCCCGTAGCCCATAGCCAGCAAATTTAGGGGAGTTTGATAATGCATGAGGCTGCTGAGGACCTGCGCTGGCAGGGTCAGAATGTGTGCGAAATCGTGATCATCGTGAGGATTTAAGTCAATACAAGTGCTCTTATGTAACCAGCCCTTGGCCTGCAATTTATATCTAGGTACCTAGAAAAATAGTTCCAAATCTGTAAAGTTTGGCATGGTGGGTACCGTGGGGATTTCTAACACGTACGAATATTTGTCAACATTTTAATTGCACTTTATAAAACGCTGTAACAACCAATAACATGGGTAAACAGACCCAAGCATTAATGGCGTTTAATTTGTTTTATCTAATTAATTTATAAATTACGTAGTATAATGTTTTAAAGGTCTTCTCTTACCTTTCCCGCAGTCATTATTAGCAATGCCATCTCTATCAATATCTGAACTGACGCTTATCTTCGGTGTTCCATCTAAAGTCGCATTCACTAATTCGCGGCTTAGGGAATCTATCGAAGAAGTATCATTGCTCTCATCATCAGCTCCTTTACCAGCAGAAATAACGCAGATTATCAATAATAAATGTAAAATAATGTTGCACCCAGCTATTTCTTGCATCTTATTTGTATTTTTCATTTAACTTAATAGAGTTGTTAAATATGAGGATTACATATAAATAAGTAAAAAAATCTAACAGAACTATCTAGCTAATAAATTTATGAAATTGTGAAAGCAATATTTTTGAACCAGGTGTTAAATACGAATAAGGAAAGTGAATAAAAAAGGAACCATCAACTTGAAACTCAATCGGTCATTCAATGAGTAAAAAGAAGAGACTGAACAATTGTGTACACTAATGCATTATGTTGGAATTCAATTGAAAAAAGAAAACAACAGGTTGAGGAATCTTTTATATGGTTCAAATTTACAATAGCCCGTCGTGTTTTGCAGCGATAATGGCATTTTCTCTGTTAAGAAATATTTTACAGTACTTTGTGATGGCTTATTATGTGAAGGATCAGATAAAGCGGCGGTTCCGGAAAAGATTTATATAGAAAACTACTAATCATGAAGTCAACAGTGCAACAATAATAAATGGTTTTAAGATTATTAAATAAACCTCGTTGCATTTCGTCGTTAATAAATTAAAAACGTTATAAATTATTTTCATATATTATATATTTTCATATTTTTCATTAATTGTAACAAAACCAGTATTCCGTATTAACAGCGTTCATAGATGAATATTATAAAATTTGTATGCAAACATACTTTTCCATAACTATAGATGTAGTTAAGGAAAGGTTTATGAAAAAGCGCAATTAAGAAAGAAAATTTAAACCAAACAAAAGTCACAACTTATGTGTACACAAAAAATAATTTTCGAACACAATATTTAATTGTCACTGTCATTCGTCACTGAAATTATTTATTAATTTATTATTTATGTCAATTCATGAGCAAAGTATTGAGCGTGCGTCAATATTTTCGTGCGGTTGATATTGATACTACCGATAACACTGTATTCACCTTACATTATGAATTAAATAGTTCCTTTTACAGTTCTTATTTACATCGTTTAACTTGGTATAAAGTATAGAATGGGTTTATTATCAGATCCAGAGTATGGATCGGTGAAATGGGTTAGAATTCTTAAAAAGATTCATGCACCGCTATGTTTCCTATGCTACATTGGTGCCATCGTTTGGTTCTTTATGCTGGCAAATAGGGAGTTCAATAACGAAACTTATTTCTCCGAAAATGCGTTGCTCCCTGGCTTAGTCACAAAAGAGTTCAATGCAGAATCGTCTGCAAATAGATTCTTTAGTGAATTTTTACAAGAAATGGAGGTTTGTACTTATTCTCCTTATACATTCAAACTCCTTAATATTTATTTGTATATAACTATCTAAGGAAAATAACAAATATTTTTGAGAAATTGAAAAAAAAAACTAATATTTATCTCATTCTCTATTTATATAAAAAATACTCTAATGATTTCTCCATTAAATACAGTATAATAAAAATAAATCAAATTAATAAAATTGAATTTTGTAATATTTGTTGTAATTAACTGTTAAATTGCATAGAACAACAACAAACATTATTAAACACATGTATAGTATGGTAATCATTAAGGTTACAGTTTATAATGGTACAAATTAATATATTAAACTAGCTTATAATATAACAAAAGAAGAATCAGATATGGTAAAATAGAAAAGAGTAAGGACAAGTTTACAATTTTATTTAACTTGGCCGAACTAAGATAATGATTGTTGAATATCTCAGGATGTTTGTAATTTATATATGTAAAATTTCCTTTTTTTTTTTTCCCTACTATGGCTCCACTGATATGTCAGTGATTTTGCCAATAACTAAGAACTTTGAGATCAACTTGACAAGGTTAGGACAATGAAAATATATAATATTTCGTTTAAAATTATTTCATTTGTGTACCTGTTAACAAAGGAACAACACAACGTTAGTAACATACAAATTAATAATGGAAGACAACACTCAAATATATGAAAAATAAAAACAGGACATAATTTTTTTTATAAAATGTCCTTATAACATAAGATAATGTTATCCTACAATAAGAGTGCAAAATTTTCAAAGGCAAGACTACAATAGGTCTTCTTAGGTGCATTAGTTGTTGGGACTATCCAACCGCTTGCACAAAAATAAATATACACAATCCTCAATATACACAATCCACAGTACATTGTGTTATTTTATGTCGTATCATTTTCCAGGATAAGAATGCAAAAACAGGCGAGATGCCAATACCATGGCTGGTTGGCAAGATGTCCCAGTTGCATTTGGAAGTATATACACACAACTTCACACTCAACTATCCTATGGGACAGGGGCAGGTCAGTTTGCTTAATGATTTATTGAACACTGACTTCTTTAATGATGTATATTGTTGTAGAATACTTGTAATCCACAAAATATGGACTTTTTACCAGAGCCCAACCATTTTTGAATACCACAAATTATACCAAACTGTAGACCATAGGATGATGAATTTGAAAGTATTTCTTGAATTTTTTTTTAAAACTAGCTTGGTCATTGTCTTATTTGATTTATAACTACCCTGTATGTAGCTTACAGCATACAAGTGACATCTGTATTTTTATCTTATAAGTAGGAAGTTGCATAAAAAACATGACAAGACAAATTGACAGTGACAATTTTTTTTTACGTGAGCTGGCGGTTCACCCTAGGTTAAGTAAATACTGCCGTCCATGGACATCTGCAACATCCGTAGGGTTGTAGCTGATGAATGAAACGGAGAAGTGTCACACTTCCACACAGTGAACACTTTAACACCGGTCTTCGGTGAGATCGTGGTGCTTACCAGGACAGACCTGCTCATTCGTGAAACAATGAGGACTCGTTTGGCTCTACCACCAGTATATTCTCAATCGAGAAGAAAATTTTATCACTTTAAGTACCTAGTATGAAACTAAACATAAGAATAAGACTTTTTATTAGTATTATTATTATATATTATATTATATATTATTAGTTGCATTATTATACATATTATATATTAGCACTCACCATGCTTGTTGTTAATAACATTACCTATAAATTGTCTAAATTTAGTGTTCATCTTGATGGTGTAACAAAAATAAATAAATAAATAAGACGGCTGAAATCACGTTAAATCGGTGTATGTACCGACCACTTTCGGACCCATTGGAGGTCCTTCATCAGAGTGAATGGTATTGGTGCGCGTTAATAACGTCTCACGAAAGTTTTAATAATTATAATTTAGTGTCATACTTACTACATTTTTACTTATATTACGTACATTTAAAATTTTCGGATTGAACCGTCGCAAACTTTTCGCCACTGCCAGAACCCGAAGTTTGTTTAATCAAACTTGTGTAGTAACAAAGTTTTTTTTTTTATGTGAAAAGTTGCCAAACGAGCTGACGGTTCACCTGATGGTAAGTGAATACCGCCGCCCATGGACATCTGTTACACCCGAGGGTTACAGATGTGTTGACAACCTTTTGAAAGAAATTTATATTGTTTATAGTGCTAATCTTTGCACTTGAGATTGAACATTAAAATATGTAGAAAAAGTGCGAAAAGATTGTCGCCGCTCTGGGAATCGAACCCACGTCTTCGGCATTCGCGGCCTGACGCTCTAGCCACTGAGCTAAACGGCTGATTACCACACCGACGAAAATCTTAACGCTTTTTGTATGCTGGAAAGGATATAACAATAGATGGCGCCAAGCATTGCTTCAAAGGCTAAGAAAACAATGTGGAAGAATGCGTTAAGATTTTCCTCGGTGTGGTAATCATCCGTTTAGCTCAGTGGCTAGAGCGTCAGGCCGCGAATGCCGAAGACGTGGGTTCGATTCCCACAGCGGCGACAATCTTTTCGCACTTTTTCTACATATTTTAAACCTTTTGAAAATTGGGCTCCGGCTACCTCACTCACCAGACGAAACGCGAAAGTATTTGTCATACTCCACTTTACGCTGGTCTTCTGTGAGGTCGTGGTACTTACGAGCCTGCCCATTCGTGCAACAGCCGAGGCTGCTGCGTGGCCCTACCACCGTAGGAAAGTTATTTTATTGAACCCGTTTCCAGATATACAAGGGTACCAATGTATATGGAATACTAAGGGCCGCGCGTACTGCTTCACTAGAAGCTTTGGTGGTTTCGGCGCCCTTCCGAGGTTTATCGTCACATGAAAAGGGCAGTGCCGCTGGCATTGCCCTGATGCTGGCTTTTGCTCAGTTTGCGAGGCGTAAGTTGTACATTCTATAAATTTGTAATTTCTATAACGTGCATGAATACAACCTCAACCCAAAGTTGAGATGATGACCATTAAAATGTTGAATGGGATATGTATGTTCCAATAGAGTTGATGTTTGGTTTTTAATTCACATAGCATTTTTGTCTTTTTTGATCTCGGCTTGCTTGTTCTTACACATATTTTAAATCCATATCCCCTTAGAAAGTTTTTTTAACCACTTATCAGGCTGTATATCCTATAAACATAACTGAAACAGTGTAAATTATTAATTAATAATAGTTTATTTATTTTAGCTGTCTTTTTCACGCCAGTATTATTTATTTGAATTTAAATGTGCTTCCTGTGTGTTGTGTGATCCCTTGCAGATAAAACCTCCTTCATCTCTTTCCATTTTTTACTTTCAGTAGCAATGTTCATGCAATTCCTTCCTGCTATCTCCATGATGTGACCATCTTTTTCATGGCCTTCCTACTCTCTTTTGAGTGATGCTCCCAGCCATTTTGTTACTTGAAGGGTCCATCTATTATCATTGTATCTGGCTGCTTGTCTAGCCCAATTTCATTTCTGTTTCAATCTAAATTGAAATTATAGGAAGAGTAAAATATACTGAAATCGTAGCATATATTATAAAGACAAAATGTACTCTGCAGCACAGAAGTATTGGGCGAAAGACATCATATTCCTCATCACCGAACACGAGCAACTGGGTATGCAGGCATGGTTGGAAGCCTACCACGGCTTAAACAATGAGCCGGGCAACTTCTACACTAGCCTTGGGAGTTTCCTCAAGCCTGGCATGTTGACACTGGATCTTGGGAAACTGACATCGAAGCTGGACTGGGGAGAGGACGCCGCGAGGTGTCTTGACCCTGGCAAGTTGCAGGGAAGGTCTGGTTCCATCCAGGCAGCCATCAACTTAGAGTTTCATACGCCTAAAATTAGTGAGTTTATTTTTTTATCCTCCTATGCTCCATTTCTGGATTGGAGTTTATACAAAAATAACCATTTAGTAGTTATAAACCTTTAGCTTATGCATACAACAAACCAACATACTAAGTTACACAAATGAAGTGTTAAAATTTCTGTGTTTCATCTGATGAGTGAGGTAGCCGGGGCCCAATTTACTAAAAGGGCGACACATCTGTAACCTACGTGTGTTGCAAATGTCGGCTGGACCGCCAGCTCTCTTGCCACCTTCTCATTTATAAAAAAGTCTGGACTGCTCTCAACTTAAACTGTCCTCTTCGCAGAGTATGTGGAGGTGAAAATTGAAGGGCTTAATGGACAACTGCCGAATCTGGATCTAGTCAACTTAGTGCACAAGCTTTGCGTTAAGTCTGGTGTACATCACTCCTACAAAAATAGGTATGATATACATATCTTCTATATATATATATATATATATATATATATATATATATATATATATATATATATATATATATATATATATATATATGGGGTATATATGTATATATATATATATATATATATAAATGAATCCCTTTTTTATCACGCCATCATGCGGGAACGACTGGACCGATTTCATTTTTTTTTGTTGTGTTTGTTATTATCAGGAGGTTTTTATGAATGAAAAAAAAAAATTCAAAAAATTGACTGAAAAAGTCTAAAAACATCTCTTTTCTATATTCCCGTACAAAAGATTCGTAATAATACTTAAAAGTCAATTTGAACTTTAATACCATACCATTAAGTTTATGTGTTAGTAAAGGGGTTCCGGGAAGGCAAAACAAGTGAGTGACTGTGGTAAAATGTCACTTGAAATGTAAACGTCTCTTTACTATGCATCACTACATAGTATTAAACAAAATCGCAATCTTTCTATGTATGCATAGATCTTTAAAACTGCTTTTGTTTTTTTTACTAGATAGAGTGATTCAAGAGGAAGGTTCATATGTATAATACATTGCACCCGTGCAAAGCCGGGGAGGGTCGCTAGTCTTAAATATTTCTAAATTATTTAATTTATTGTAGATACACAAGATGTAAAATGTTGATAATATTGTACAGATGCCATATTTTTGCCAACTCAACAGTTACTCTTGGATACGGCGCAACAGAATGGACGAGTGGGCTGGCGGGATTTGGACCATGCTAGGCATGGTGAATACTCAGTTCACGGGGGTGAGTTTTTGACACTTTATTTATTATCAGCTTTATGCAACGTGTCGTTACCATCGCGACAATAAATGAACACACATATAGGGGATAAATTTTTAAAGTTGTATTAACCATTTAAATTCTTTAAACATCAATATTCACAGAGTTATTAAATTTTCCAAAACAAAGAATTTTAGAACACCCTTACCTATAGAAGCGGAACGTAAAGTTCATTTGTAAAGGTCACAAAGCATATGAATGGGTTGAATGAATTTAAAAGAGACAAAACATACTGTTAGAAGGAGAGGCTTGTAATGCGACGCTGTGGCGCGAGTTGTATAGGATGTAACATATTTTGTTTCTTTTTTACTTAATTATTTTGTTTGAAAAATATATTTTTTTTATTATGGATTTTGTTGAACGTTAATATTTTTTTATGATTATTGGCAAGTAGCGTTAGATGTGTGTTCATTTATTGTCGCGATGGTAACGACACGCTGTATATATAATCCTTCTGTTCTTGTGTATGTTTTTATTTTTTCTATGTGAAAAGTTGCCAAGCGAGTAGACAGTTCACCTGATGTTAAGTGAATACCGCCGAACATAGACATCTGCTAAATCTGAGGATTGCAGATGCGTTGACAGCCTTTTGAAAATTGGGCTCCGGCCACCTCACTCACCACACGAAACGCGAAAGTATTATACTTCCACTTCGAGCCGGTCTTCTGTGAGGTCGTGGTACCTACCCGGACGGGCCTGCCCATTCGTGCAACAGCCGAGGCTGCTGCGTGGCCCTACCACCGTTACAATTTTTTATAAAAGCTTATTGTCAATAAAATTGTTAATTTCAATCGCTGACATCACATGCTCAGCGGTGAAGGGAAACATCTAGAGGAAACTTGCATGTTTTCGAAATAATAACAAAAATAATATTTTTAAGATATGCACCTAAAGTCTGTCTATCCGCAGTGCGGTCGCGTGGTGGTTATACCCTCTGTACAGAGGAGGCTTTTCCCCGCAGTGAGACATGCATAGGCTGGTTACTTTACTTTACTATAGTATATAAATAAATATTTTTAGGACACATTTTTACACAACATTCTTTAGTCCCAAACTAAGCAATGCGTGCACCATGGGTAACTGATAGACAAACTTATCTTTTGTAAATAAATACATATTATACATATATAAACTGAATACATATTATATTAGAAAAACACTATGATATATGAATCACACAATATTTTTCCAGTAGTGGGGATAGAACCCACACCCTCTGATCCAGGAGGCGGGTACACTACCCACTACGCCATCGGGTACCTTATGTATATTCGTATACCTTTTGTATATGTATTAATAGCGAACTGCTGCGTGGCCCCACCACAGTCAATTATTGATTGCATGCAAATTTTAGGTACCCAACGGCAACCACGGCCTGTTCCACCGTTTCGGGATCGAAGCGGTGACCCTGGAGGGTCGTGACGCCACTGACCCCGCGGGGGCACCGCCCAAAATCAACACCCTGCCAACGGCGAACTTCTACAGGCTCGGGATAGCTTTGGAGAGCATCCTGAGGTCCCTCAACAACCTGCTAGAGAGGTTCCACCAGAGCTACTTCTTCTATCTTCTAGCGGCGACTAACAGGTTCATATCTATAGGTAAGCCGTTGAGCTGTTTTCGGCTTTATCGCGTCGGGATAAGGATCAATTTTACGTGCAGTCTTTTGCCCCCTTAGACTTATTTATGTCGGTTTGTAGAGTTACATGCCGTGTCCCAATATTTTTTTTATTTGAAAACAAGGACCCGCACGGGTGCAATTTATACATATAAACCTTGAATCACTATCTAATAAAATATCCGCATCAAGATCCGTTGCGTGTTTTAAAGAACTAAGCATACATAGGGACAGACAGACAGTGGGACGACTTTGTTTTATACTGTGTAGTGACTCAAGCGAGCTGGCGGTTCACCTGATGATAAGTGTTACCCGCCGCCCCCGGACGTCTGCAACACCCGTAGGGTTGCAGACTCGTTGCCATTTTTTTAATAAAATGGGCCCCGGCTACTCGCTCACCAGACGAATCGCAGGAGTATAACACTTCCACCTCGCGCCGGTCTTCCGTGAGGTTATGGCACTGCCCCGGACGGACCTGCCCATTGGAACTGTTGCGTGGCCCTACCACAGTACTGCTAATACTGTGGTAGAGCCTCTCAGCAGTTTTTCTTCCACGAATGGGCAGACTGAGGTAGCCGGGCCCACTTCATTAAAAGGTTGCAACGCATGTTGCAAATGTCCATAGGCGGAACAGTATGAAAGGGTTGAAGTTATTCTACGCTTTCAGGCCAGTACATGCCGTCCCTTTGCCTACTTTGCGGCGCGATGCTGATAAAGGCTTTGTCCCTCTGGGTGAGCTTGCAGCAAGAAGACGAAATCGTAGACAAGCAGACGAAAGAACGAAATGCAGAAGATAAAGTAGGAGACGAGAAGAAAGAAGAAGCAGGACAGGCCGAGAAGGAATCGGGGATGGAAAAAGATCTAAATAAAGATTCGGAGAAGAGTTCGGGGAAAGTGTCTGAGGATGAGTCGGAGGGAATCGTGTCAGAAGAGGAAGTGAAAGATAGAGAAGACGGAAAAAGAGCAAACGATCCCGGAATGAGTATAGTTAGTATGGGGGCGAATTATCTGCTGGTCCATTTATTGGGCTATGTGGTGATGCATTCGCCAGTTTTCTTCAGTCAGATTGGTGAGTTGACAACAAAATCATTCTAATTCTAATCAAATCATGAAATATCATCAGATGTATGATACTTCGAGCAGTTTATAACCTGAGCCCAAAGAATCACTAAGAAATTTGTTCAAAGAGATTGAAATATTGACTGTTGCTTCTGAGTATAATTTGAAAATGTTGTCATATCTAAATGTCCATAAAATAATAACGAATTTTCAAGAAATGGTAATGCGCATGATATAAATACTAGGAAGAAACATCTGCACTGCGTAGGATAAGTAATTATTTTGTGGGACAACAATATATAGACGTTTTTTTAAAAATATCTATTAATTGCAAAATTCCAAAAAAAATTGTTAAGGAACGTTTTTGTATTGAAGGCTATTATAATATTAGTATTATTTAGATTATTTAAATGAGACACCCTGGAAGGTTATTTTTATATTAGTTATTTATTTTAAATCCATTTATTAAGGCTAACTAACTAAATACGTGTAGACCATTGGGGGAAAATACGTATTAATTAAACATATGTACATATATAACACAACACTATAAAACAGACCCAGGATAGTTGGTACACGACTCTCTCTACACTAGGGAGGGTTAAAAATGCTAAAAATCTTCAATTAATAGACGACGTGTAAATGTAACGGGTATTAAAACATGTAGAAAAAGTACGAAAAGATTGTCGCCGCTGTGGGAATCGAACCCACGTCTTCGGCATTCGCGGCCTGACGCTCTAGCCACTGAGCTAAACGGCTGATAACCACAGCGACGAGAATCTTAACGCCTTCTTTCTACATTGTTATTTAGCATTTGAAGCAATGCTTGGCGCATCTATTGTTATATCCTTTCCAGCATACGAACAATCTTTTCGTACTTTTTCTACATGTTTTAATGTTCAATCTAAAGTGCAGGGATTAGCACTATAAAAAACTTTAAAATTTGTAACGGCGGGTATTTCGAAAGCGTCAAAACCTTGTTCAGGCGCGAACTACTACGACTACCCGTCGGAGTTCTCGGTCTACTGCGGCTTCGTGGCGGTATCCGTCGGCGTGGTCATCATCAGCCCGTCGCTGCCGCGGCTGCTCCGCGCCGCCCCCATCGCCCGCGAGGAGTTGGCGCTGGTGAACATCCTGGCGCTGGTCGAGCTGGCCACCGCCTGCCTCGCGATAGGAATGCACAACTTCGCGCTGGGGCTGGCGCTGGCGACCGTGTACACGCCGCTGGCGCTGGTGGCCGGCGTGGCGGACGCCAGCACGCGGTGGGTTGCTCATCGTTTTGGAGGAAAGGGAGAAAAGGTCGAGCTATCGCTGGTAGGCCACGCAGCGGCTCGGCCGTTGCACGGATGGGCAGGCTCGACCGGGTAAATACCACGACCCCTCAGAAGACCGGCGTAAAGTTAGGTTTCGTCTAGTGAGTGAGGTGGCCGGAGCCCAATTTTTCAATTGGTTGTCATCTGGAACTCTCGGGCGTAGCACATGTCCATGGGCGGCGGTATTCCCTTGACATCGGGTGAGCCGTCTGCCCGTATGGCAACTTTTCACATAAAAAAAAAAAGAATAAACGTTCATTTACGGTCTAAGCGCAATGGATACAAAACTTAAAAAATAATGTAACTACACAGTATTTGAAATTATATTGGAAGTACTTAAAATCACTGTAAAAAAATAAGTGAAGCTCTGTGTAGCAGCATAAGACCCCGAAACGGACGGGACTCGGTGAAAGTCAAGATACAGAATCTAAATTTCGTTAAAAAAACTAAATTTTGGGTTCCTCGTGCTCCTGACTGACGCGTCCAACTGTGGTAGGGCCTTGCAACAGTGTTCTCTGTTGCACGAATGGGCAGGTCCGTGCGGGTTAGTGCCACGACCTCACATAAAGCTGGCGTGATGTAGAAGTACACTTCTGCGTTTCGTCTGGCGAGTGAGGTATCCGGGGCCCGCCTTACAAAAAGGTGGCAACGCATTTTCAATCCTACTGGTGTTGCAAATATCCATGGGTGATTATCACGTACCATCCGCCAGCTCGCTCGTGATAATCGCCGCCAAGAGACATTTTGTACACCCATAGGGTTGCAGATGCTCTGCCACTCGCATAAGGCTGTGGTAATTCCCGGGCGGACCAGCCAATTCGTGCAACGGCGAAGAGTACCGGAATAGAAATACCTACCTACCTTTTATCATTCCCACAAATAATTCGAAAACACCTCTACTACTTATAATGAAATCCGTCGTAAATATATAACACCTGATGTATTGAAATCCCTCAAAAGATTTAGTTTGTACAGACATACATAGGCTGGAAAAACAATCGCCTCCTTCGGTAGTCGAGTAAAAAAATATTTTTCAGTCAACATTTTAGCAAATCGATGCAAACTCTTCGTGTTAAATTGCAGACGAGTGGTTCTGTTCGCGAAGCGCGTCTTCTGCATCCTCCTTCAGCCTCTCTGCCTTCTCACCCTGTGCATGGTCTCGTACAGCCGGGTCCTCTTCCCCGAAGAGGGCTTGCCCAGCATGTTCAGCAGGGGCAAAGATGCCGCCATGCAGGCCATCATGTTCTCCATCGTTGATTCCCTGGTAAGTGTTGCCACGTTACATTTTATCCGCATATACAGGGAGGCTTTTCTAAGTGTATCCATTTTTTTTATTTAATTCTGGACATGAATAACGTTATATTAAAAATGATAAATATTTTAAATCACTCGTAAGTAATTAATTACATTCACTTGAACTTATCTCAAAAAGTGCGTGATTTATACACAACTCATTTATTTCGCGCGCGACCATTCATAACTAACACGCACACAAGTTCGTTTGTGTGTGTGAACAGTAAAATTTAGGTATTTACGAATGACTACTGCGTTGTCAACACGTTCTGTTTTTTAGGGAATAGAATGATAATTTTTTTTTTTTTGAAAAAAAAAACAAAGATTTTTTTTTATTTCAATAAACGATTATACTACCGAGTCTGAACCTCCTGTGTAAATTTGGGCGCCTTTAAAAAAGTCTCCGTGTATTATCTATCAGTTGTTTCTTTTTTTCGTTGACACGCCATAACTTCAATTATTCTTCTCTGATGAGCCGGTGGCGCAGTTGCTTAGCCATTGGCTTGGGCGGCGCGGGTCGTGGGTTTGATTCCCGTGCGGGACAAGTATTTGTGTGACCCACAGATTTGTTCCAGATCTGGGTGTTTGTTCCCAATAAGGGTTGACGTAATGCGGGCGGCCGGTCATAAATAACCTAGCCATTTATAATGATTCACATGATCTGACGATCCCGGCCACGTGGACTAAGGGCAGGAGCAAAAAGCTATAATAAAATTTATAAAATGTAATAAATAATACATGTGTACATACATACAGTCACACCTTTCACATATAGTAGCAAGTAGAAATTACAATATTACACTTTCGTGTTTCGTATACAGCGTGTCGTTACCACCGCGACAATAAATGAACACACATATAGAGGATAATTTTTTAAAATTGTATTAAACATTTACATTCTTCAATCATCAATATTTACAGAGTTATAAAATTTTCCAATACAAACAATTTTAGAACACCCTTACATATAAAACTGTAACGTAAAGTACATTTGTAAAGGTCACAAAGCATATGAATGGGTTGAATGAGTTTAAAAGAGACAAAACATACTGTTAGAAGAAGAGGCTTGTAATGCGACGCTGTGGCGCGAGTTTTATAGGTGTTACAAATTTTGTTTCTTTTTTACTTAATTAGTTTGTTTGAAATAAAATTTTTTTTTAATCATGGATTTTGTTTAACGTTAATATTTTTTTATGATTATTGGCAAGTAGCGTTAGACGTGTGTTCATTTATTGTCGCGATGGTAACGACACGCTGTATAATATAAATTAAAAAAAAATAATTAAGTATATCGATATGTCTCAACTGTGAATGAAAAATAATATAAAAGGATTATTAACATATTGCTTTTTATTTTAAGTTGTGTATACAATAAAGAATTTAGAAAATAACATCGACTAATTTAAAATTCTCTTGTTACAGATATACGGGAATTGGTTGTACAATGTTGCCACATCTGTTCTTTTACCCACTTGGATCATATTTTGGCAGATACTGTGCAACAAAGTGCAGTAGAATAATTGTTAATTTAACACTCTAGCAGGTGCGCTTCTACTTAGGACGTTAGTGAACGCGAGATCTACGTATGTAGAACACTTTTAATCTAAGGTTATTCAAACGAAAAATTCTTGCAAATGCATCAGTCGCCGCAACTACACTAATTATGTTCATTGGATAGTTTTGTAAGAATACTGTGAGTGTGTGCGTGTATAAAATTCAAATTGCGCTCAAATCTTAAAAAATGAATGCACGTTCTACAACTGTAGAAAGCGCGACTATTGGAGTGTTAATATAGTTTTATATCAACGCAACATGCCATCGATATCGTCACATTTAAGTTAGTATTATCGTACTGGAATCGCTTTAAGAGCATCCAAACAAGAGAACAAATATTATTTTGTAACTAATAAAGTATTAAGTTGCTTTTATTTATGTGTCGCCATTCCATGGACAATAAATATTTTTGTTACCATTACTGTTAATATTATTTATATAAATAAAAAAAACAGCTCACGAGTAATTTAATCTACATCCTTAATTGACCTTAAATGGAGCCCTACTGGGTCCTATAAACCATGTGCGATTTTATATGAGTGATAATTGAACCCAAACAATTTTATTATAAATATAAAAAACATTGTGGGAAATATACTCCCTTTGACTAGTTTGGATATAATAAATGATGTGGGATATTATAAATATTAAAGATATTATATATACTTTGGTATGAATCATAGATAATACATAATTATATACTGTATGAATCTATGTACGCAGATAGCTCTTCCTGTAAGTTTTGTGACATCTTGCCATCCTGTAGATCGATTCCTTGGCAAAAATATTCGTATTTTTTCTAATAGCGAGTTACTATTATGAACAAGTACTTATTCTTCCGAATATTAATTAAGCGTTCACAACGATCACGCTCACGACCGCAGTTTTTCCCGTTCCATTTGCTTGTGAGCGTTTCTGTCATAAACTAGTGGAATGGATTATAGAGCGTTTTGAGCGTGGAGGTAAATAATACAAACGACAAGTTAGAAAAAAGGAAGTTTTAAATCTTTTATTTAAGGTTATGTTATAATCTGTAAGCCTTGAAAATAAACTTAAATGGTTATTGCTTAAATCGATTTAGATTGAAAAAATTATGTATAAAATATTTTATATTAGTGGTGTATTAATTAAATTATGTGCAAATGTAATTAACATGTCTATTGCGGTGACACTTTGATCTTTGACATTTTGAATTATTTTGAAAATGCCGCTAATTTTCTCAACGATCACCTCGACCCACCGACCCTTTTAGATGGGTCGTCGTGAACGTCAGTCATCACATCATAAGTGACGTTTTCGCCGCGACCACAACGAACGCGGTCGTTATGTGGAAAAACTAAACGAGCATTTTTTTAGATGGGTCGTCGTGAGCTTCGCCTGAGCGTAAGTCATGACGTCATAAGTGACGTTTTCGGCGCAACCACAATGACCGCGGTCGTTATGTGGAACGACTAAAGGAGCATTTTGATCGTTGTGGGCGCTTAGTGGAACGCACCCTTAGTGGAACGCACATTTATTATGACATTTTAGATGACATACGGATGACATTCCGAAAGAAAAATAGCTAACTGTCTTGCTTTTGTATTAAGTTTATTTTTTTATGTTAAATAATACAAACTTCGTTATATATCTTGTTTTCTGAGATATTGTCCGGTAATTTGTGTATTTAAAATGGAAGACTTCAAGATATGCAGGATATGTCTAAGAATGGATGTGAAAGTTTATAAATATGATCAGTTTCAATTAAAGTTGTGTTATCAAGAATTAACAGCATTAAAAGTAAGTAAGTATTTAAATTTAAGTACGAATAAAGTGTATTATGTGACAACATTATATATATAATGTATTAAATCATAATTGTGTGGAAATCCTTGTAATTACCTAGCTTCGTAGCGCTGGAATTTAACACGTATGACCTGTAATGAGAAAAAATATGGTTTAATTCATAAGATACAAAATAGAATAGTTGGATAAGAAAGTTCTACGTTCTTATGTATTTAAATATTGTGTCTAATTCAATATTCCCTGAATTTTAATTAAAAACAAGTGCCCAGTACTCCATTCTTGGTTGGTAAACAAAGCATTTGGCTCAGTTTTCCATTGACGTCCGTCGAGTTAGGGTTTTATATATTTTTTTACAGAAAGGTGACATTATTATAAGCACACACGCAAAGATTCAAAGAAAAAAGGCTAAGGTGGGAGCTTATTTTTTTTATGACCACCCAGATTATCAGTGCAACACTAATTTTAGTATTTTTAAAAACTCTTTTTTTTAATATGGCAGATGATGGCAGATTTCTCTAGTGAAAATAACAAGTTTTAAATATTTTTTTTGAAAACTACAAGCAACCGGTGAATTCTGCTTGTTGATTATTTCATTAGTTATTTTTCTTTAACGAATAACCACCAGTGCCAGTGTTTTTAGGTCGAAAAAAGTAATGGCTAATAAAATAATACAAGAAATTTTATTGAAATTTCTTTCCTCAAAATCAAATATTAAAAAGTGCGAAAATCAGGGGACTCCGCAACTTTCCCTTTTAAGGGGGGTAAAACCCCACACCACTCCTCCCGCACCCCGCCCGCCACATCAATTTGATGAACGCCAATGGAAAGTTGTACCACTTTCGGACAAATAATGTCGATTATTGCTTTAACAAGTTAATAAGTATTGCTTAATAGGTACAATGGAATAGGTAAACAGCTCAGCAGATGTGTGCCCCAGGTATTAATTGCTATTGTACGGTTCTGAAATTTCTGCATTGATTCTAAATTTAAAAAAATATTTAGAAAATGATTGTTTACTCACATTGTTCATATATTAAGTAAATAAACTGAGGTTTTCAGTGATATAATATCTCAATTTTTAGCATTATTTTGTATCAAGGTGTAGAAAAGCTGACTTTTAAATATCTCTGCTAAAAACTCCAGATAAGATTTGCCAATTTCTTGTATCTTACTTTGTATCGCTAATTAAATATGCTAGTCTCCTCATGGTGTTAGTGAGCATATTGTTTACTAACATTTGAAATTGCTTTAAAAGAGTTCAATGAAAAACAAAAACCTATATAATAAAATGACTATATAATTTCTTCTTGTACAGATCACAAAGCGAGATGTGTTACCTCATTATTTCTGCTATGAATGTGCCATACTTCTTCATAAGTTTGTTAAGTTCAAACAAAAATGTTATGAAGGTCAGAAAGAGCTGAGAGCTTTGTTGGTGCGTGGCAAGGTAAGAATTTATTTTGTGTATTTTCTACATCTTTGTTATAAAAGTGCTATTTGGTTGATCCTAATACTGTACATTTCTTTGGTGCGCAATAACAGTTACTTATTTACCATCCTATTTTTGGCAGTATTTTTAAACCAAGAGAACAATAACGTGTCAAAATGATCTATTGGATTTAAGCAATTTTTTGTCATTAAAACAATTTAGCAGTGAAATGTATATATGAAAAGTAGTCCAGTGGTTTAAAAAAAAAGCAGTTAAAACTTGCAAATAAAGTGGTATATATAGGACGTAATAGTAATTATATAATAACTAAAACTGTCTTTTTTTTTTTTACGTGAAAAGTTGCCAAACGAGCTGACGGTTCACCTGATGGTAAGTGAATACCGCCGCCCATGAACATCTGCTACACCGCAGGGTTTGCAGATGCGTTGACAACCTTTTTGGAAATTGGGCTCCGGCTACCTCACTAACCAGACGAAACGCGAAAGTATTTGTCATACTTCCACTTTACGCCGGTCTTCTGTGAGGTCGTGGTACTTACACGGACGAGCCTGCCCATTCGTGCAACAGCCGAGGCAGCTGCGTGGCTCTACCACTGTCGAAGTCTTTGGAATTTATAAACATCCAGTAGTAAGGATATTGGCATCATCAATGTTAGTAATGTTATTAGTAATACTTACTCCTTTGCATGCGATACATAAGCAAATTCTGTTACTGGTAACGAAATTTTTTCATTTTTCTTAAATACGAAAAAAAGGTTCTAACCAAATTTCAGATCACTCATGACTCCGTGCGTAGATTGAAATTAAAGAGTACGAAGTTTAAGCCGACCTTAGAAGTATTAACGCTTAATAAACGCGTTAGAACGTTTACGTTCACCGACCGAAAACGGATCCGAAGAAAACTCTCCGAGTGTGTAGAAGCTGTAGTCACAGCCAGCAGTCCTGAAATAGTCAGTGCTGGCGAAGAAAATGAGGGTAGCGAAGAGAGAAATACTGATACGTCGGTGGATATTCCGGAGACTGTTCCAGATGACGTCAAAGACGAACCGAACGATTTGATCTTTGACCTGCATGAGGAAGCTGACGATCCAGACGATCTAGACTTCAATCCGGCGGAAGACAATGCGATGAGTCTGACGACTGTGTTCATTACCGAGAAGGAGATATTGAAGACAGAGGAAGTCGTTGTCGAGCAAGTGGACGAAACCAACGGCGGCAACGACGTGGCTGTAGACAAATACGCAGGGCTGATCGCGAGGAGACGCAAGAACAGCGTCGCGAGCAAGAAGGACTTTAAGAGGAGAAGGCAGAGGAAGATAGAGGGGGTGAGGAACAATTGGGGGGACCGAAAGTACAAGTTCACGGTGAGGCAGAGGAGATGTTTGGACCTGAACAAATGGCGGAAGATCAGCCTGACAGAGGAGGAGGCGGTGAGGGAGTTCGAGAAGAGAGCTTCAGATCCGAAGTACGTACAGGGCACTTACACTTGTAAGGACTGCTACAAGGTTTTCTCTAAAGAGGACATCATGAGGCGACACATGAAGCTGAAACACAATCCGGTGAGTTATTTTTTACCACTGCAATCGGCCTCTCCAACGCTTATGGAGTTAAAGATGCGTTTCCCACTCTAACATTACTTACGACGAGTCACGTGAGAAAACGAATCTATATAAATGAACACCTTTAGAATTACAGTGACTTATTTAAACAATATCATATTTAGGAAACGTAAAAAAAAGATTTGTGCACTTTGAACAAACGCGGTAATTGGAGGGGAGTGAAAGAGACCGATGTATTCGTTATGTAGCTTTTTTAATCGCCCCTTGTTTTAATAAGGGTCGAAAAATATAGTTGTTTTAGTTTGCCATAAAATGGAAATCATGATTTCCTTAATTAGACCCTTTAATTCTATGGGTTCGAATAGAGGTCAACTGTTGTGCGCACAAAATGGAAAACTCCTGGATAGATGTTAATCAATTCTTTAAAGTTTTATTTCTCAATGACACTTATGTATTAAAAAATATTGTGATATCTTGATTTAATGTAAAGTTATAATACTTCGAAAATATTCAGGTTCCCTCACGATGTTTTCATTCGTCACACAGCACATGAAGAGTCTTTACCGCAGGATAAAATTATCCTGTATTTTAACGATTCACAAACACAAATTCCACATGGACAAACGCCTAGATCCGAAACAATCTGTGGGTAACGCACACAGTGGTCCCGTGTGGGAATCGAACCCACGACTTCAGCTCCGAAGCCAACACCTCGGTAGCTCCGCCACGTAGTCGACTCCCGTCGAGTCCACTGCGACATTGATGATCTTCCGCACCTCGCCAGTCCATCGGTCGATTCGAGTGCCGTTTCTGCCGCGCCCGCTTCCGCCTGGAGTGCCACCTTCGCAAGCACGTCCGCATCCACTTCACCAAGTACCAGTGCCTGGTCTGCAACCTAGTGGTGGCGATAGAGTGAGTCCACCGAGTAGTTATAGCTATCAATGTCTTGAACATCTCGCATCGTTTAAATTCAATTCTGCCAACGGCCAATCTACTTAAGTACAATATTCTATCACAAGGATGAGCAACGCGCGGCCCGCGGGACGCTTGCGGCCCGTTAAACATGTTTATGCGGCCCGCCAAGCATTTCTAAAATTGAATTTATCTTATCGAATTTATCCCATCAATATATTGTTATAAAATTAATTATAATAAAATGGTAGTACATATTGAACCGAAATATTTTTTGTTCGTTTTTCTGTTCTTTTGTTGTTTGTTTTTACCTTTACTGTTTGTTAATTTTATATTTTTTTATTCTAATATGTATTATAAATAAAGTTTCGTAAATTATTATGTGCGGCCCGCCAAAAATTTTGAAATTAATTTGGCCCATTGATTAAAAAGGTTGCTCACCCCTGTATCAGATTGATTTGTTTATATTATAACTACATACATTATTGATTTGGTTATTAATTATATTATATCACATTATAATAGTTTGAGGCGAGTATAATTTTTGAGGCGTGTAATTTTTTTTAAATGTTTTGGCTTTTTTTGAAACAACTAGAAATTTGATGAATCCGTGGCGCAGTTGCCAAGGTATTGGCTACGGCGTCGAGGGTCGTGGGTTCGATTCCCACACGGGACAACTATTTGTGTTACCCACAGATAGTTGTTTCGCATCTGGGTGTTCGTCCGCGTGAAATTTACGTTTGAAAAACTTCCTTACAACACAGGATAAGTAAGTAAGTATCAATGTTTTAAAATAAAGAAAGAAAATAATTAGACCATAGTAAACGACTCTTCTTCCAGGCCAACAGCGCTTATGCATGAAGAGACGCACACAGGTGTGACAAGGACTTGCAAGTATTGCGGCGAGGAGTTCCGGTGAGTTTTGATGTGACGAGAGTTTACTCTTTATGTAATTTTTCAGGGTTCCGTACCCAAAGGGTCGGTATTACTAAGACCGCTGTCTGTCATCAGGCAGTATCTCATGAACCGTGATAGTTAGACAGTTGAAATTTTCACAGATGATATATTTCTGTTGACGCTATAACAGCAAATACTAAAAAACAGAATAAAAAATTACCTGAGTGGTGCACCCATACACGATTCACTCATGAACAGACATTATTTTTTGCCGTTTTTATAGATAAAGGTACGGAACCCTTCGTGTGCGAGTCCGACTCACACTTGCTTTTTTACTGTCTGCTCCACCAATATAAGTGACAGTTTACGGCCGGCTTTTCATATCTCCTTCCAAAATTCGAATTCCTTCATCCTCATTTATTCCCCCTTTTTATGTGAGAAGGTGTCAAGCGAGCTGGCGGTTCATTTGATGTTAAGCGATAACCGCCGCCCATGGACGTTTGCAACGCCCAGATGCTTTGCCACCTTCGGATGAAGTGGGCCACGCCCGCCTCACTCACCACACGAAACGCAGAAGTATAACACGTCCACTTCACGACGATCTTCCGTGAGCTCGTGGTACTTACCCGGACGGAGCTGCCCATTCGTAACGCCCTATTGTAACGGCTCCATCACGCCGCGTGTACTACTAACGGCTGCAACAGCGTACACAGCCACAGTACCGCCCCATGGTAACAGTTCCACCGCACCGCGTGTACTATTAACGGCTGCAACAGCGAAGACAGCCACAGTACCAGCCCTATACCGGTACAGCCCTATTGTATCAGTTCCACCACAGTGGCAGTACCGTTAACGGCCTCCGTTCCGTTAGGCACATGTCCACGTACTACACACACTTGCGCACACACCGGAGCCGCCACGTGTGCGCCTCTTGCGGCGCCTCCTTCGTCAGCGAGGCGGGTCTGCACCAGCACAGGCGGGTGCGGCACGTCGACGACGTGAGTAGACGCCGGTTCGAATCCGAGCCGCTCGGAAACCGCCACCCGGCTCTAAAACTTATTCCTAAGGGATGTCTAAGTCTGCCTGAAAGTTTTCTCATTACTCTAAAGCTCAAAAATCGTTTTGGAAATAAAAAAAAAATAAAGAAAATGATCTGGTATAGAAAAAAAAAAAAGGAAAAAAAATAAGTGTGTAAATGATCGTGATACGAACCGCGGCTGTCTGTTTTGTGGCCGCCCGATTACCGACCGAGCTATTATAACATTTTTTTTTGCGGCGAAATTTACTGTCATATTCGTATGATATTTTTCATTCCCTGAAAACAGGGATAAAAGGACATTTTCTAAAAATGAACCTAGCTATATCGATTTTTCGCACCCGAATCTACGCACATACTAAATTTCATGAAAATCGCTGGAGCCGTTTCCGAGATTCCGATTATATATATATATATAATATATAATCGGAATAATAAATAAATAAATTATATATATATATATATATATATATAAACAAAAATTGCTCGTTTAAAGGATAAGAAGATAAGGGATTTAATCCACAAGGAGTTACTTAATTTTTTTGGTGGTTCTAATATCCTCCATTTTGAAATGAGTTGTTTTTACAAATTTATTAAATGACATCAAATTTAAAATGAAATTAATATTTAATGATCTTGAACAAAGCTTACATAGCTTTTTGTCATAAATATATAATTTGCTGCTTATATAGTACATATATCTTCCCATAATATCTGTCCTGAGGGATCTCGCGGGAATAAGCTCGACCCCGATTAAAGAGCACCTAAGACATGTAACTTAGGAGCCTCGAACCTCACTGTATAGTATAGGAGACATAGATAAGACATAGATAAGTTACTGGATTGTTTAGGAGACCCTTATTAAAGAATCTTTCCACCTTAGATATGTTCCCTTGACCCTATACAGGATGTCCTAATAACTGCGCACATGTTTCCTCATGACGTTTTCATTCACAGCATTAAGAAGTGATAAGTCAACACTTAAAATGAAAGAAGACAATGAAATATAAAACAAAGCATCTACATTCTTATATCGGCCATACAACGTATTCTCTGAATAGGTTTAAAACTTTAAGTCCTAATGGACTTCGCTAAGTTACAAGGAATCGTCGGGAATCGAACCTATTACAGGAGCCGAGGCAGCAGCCGGCCGGCAAGACGTACTGCGAGCGATGCCAGATCGAATTCGAGACCCCGAAGGCGCATTCTGAACACCTCAACTCGTCGGCCCTTCATGCTGACGTGGAGTAAGTAGTCTTACGTGCGAAGTTTCGATTGTGGCTTGTGTGGTCTTTGTATCGTCGATTAAAATCAAAATCAAAATCATTTAATCATACATATAGATATAAATATAATACATACATAAAAAGGACCCAACCAGACGGAAGCCCTCGGCAGGGGAGACCAAACGGCCGAGGGTTAGGGCGAAAGGGAGAGAAACCAGTGGACGATGCGGGCGATATCGAGGAGCACCGCCTTCTGCATTTGAGCTTGGAGCGATCCGTCCCGAAGACATAAGAAACATTACATTTCATCTATCGAGAGTTATATTTTTTTTAATCTACGACCGTTCTGTAATGAGGTTCCTCTAGCGGAGAAGAAACAGGCGAAAGAAACTCCGTAGGTATCCTCTTTGTTGTAATTCATTTTTTTTTAATTTAAAATGTACAAACTGATTTGTTGTTTCCTTTTAGAAATAGCTTGGGAGCGATCAACTCATTCCCAGGGGTTATTGTCATTAATGTATTAATTTGTATTACAATAACCCTTTTTATAAAAGTTTTTCTTTAGTATATTTCTTAAACCTGTTAATTATTAATTAATAATCGGGGATAATTTACGGAAGCCCAGGTTAAATTTCACATCAACACGTGTAACGACTCAGTCTGTCCCGTGACCAGGAATGCTGGAGAGGGTACTAAACGCCGGGAATTTCAAATAAAAACGCGATAAAATCCGTAAACTAGTTTCATTTAATACGTTTAAATATTTGCGTAAAATCAAGAAATCAACAAGGTTGAATTAGTAGAGGCTACTGTAATTTAATTTTAGTTGTTAAGTGCTAAAATCTACACTTGGACGAATCGTTAGAAATGTAGATAAATTGTCGTAAACCTAATCTCCGCTAGATGGCAGCACGAATTGCGAAAAATGCAATGAAAACAAAGTAGAGTTTTCTAGCGTTTCCTTCCTTTCTGGTGAATGAGGTAGTCTGTGTCCACTATATTAAATGGTTGCAACGAATCTGTCAAAAAATGACCATGGGCAGCGGCTGAGCTGCCAACTTTCTTGCCATCTTCTCACATAAGAAATTTGTTCAGGTTCGAATCCTGGCAGAGGCAAAAAATTTTTCGACAATATCACGCACATTAGTACTACGGAAAAATATAAATTTTGTGGATATGTCTACTGCGACAGAAGGCGAAATCTTTTCTTACATTTTACACCATACTTAGCAGGCTATAGCTCGTTTTTATTAATTATTCATATTTACTATCGAACCAAACTGGCTTGTGACGCATTTTTATCTGGAAAAAATGATGGGAATGACTAACTTTACTTTTATTCTCTAACGGGTCTTTGTAAAGTGTAAGCTTTTTGACGTTGCTAAGCGTTCTCTATTTTTTTTAAAAGAAGAAAACAAAGTGAAGAAAAATATACGTTTTTTTTTAAATGCAATGGCACTGGCACATTTTTGGAGGTGGCTCTGAATAAAAATAATGGTAAACGATTACCGATACTGATGCATGTTTTCATTATTAGCAATTTTCTAGGAAAGAAGACAACGAAGAGGTTCCCGCCCCGAAGAGGAGATACAAGAGGCTGAGATTCGGCAGAACGAGCAAGAAGAAGCCGACAACTTGTCACCAAGTACTGCATTTCATTTTATTATACAGAGAAGGAAACAGTTATTAATAACTCGCGACCCGCCCCGGCTTCGCACGGGTTCAATGTATTATACATATAAACCTTTCACTTGAATCACTGTATCTAGTAAAAAAATCCGCATCAAGATCCGTTGCGTATTTTTAAAGATCTAAGCATACATAGGGACAGACGGACAGCGGGACGACTTTGTTTTATACTATGTAGTGAAGAGATTGAAGTGTTTCATGCTGTAAGAGTGCTCACTAGATGGCGCTAAGCTTTGCTAAAATGTAATAAAGATATCATAAATATTTCATTAGTACATTGGACACTTAGCTTAGTTGATAAAGTTTCTTACACAGAAGACGCAAGGTGTAATCCCACAGCGCAGATAATACCATAACAATTTTGACGCTATCAGTAGCATCAATAATATCAGATAAACCGTCAGCTTTCTTGCCACGTTCTGACATAAAAAAAAGTTTGTGTATACTTTATGTACGCGCGTAAGATGTTACACTTCTTTAGCGTAACAAAAGAAAAACAAATTGAATAATAGAATAATGAAACATCGTTTCAAAAAGTAGGGCAAAATTATGAAAGCGCCATCTACATTCTTTATTGAGAACTGTAACGGGCGGATGTGATTGAGAATATGTTGCAAACTATAATAAGCCGTTTAGCGGGAAGCTTCAAAGGTGTTAATTTTGTGTTAGAGTGATGCGCGCGTATCTTAAAATTTCACTGTCATCATTAATTTATAACGCTTCTAAAGAAGTATAACTTCAATAATTAGGATTTTTCTTAATCAATATGAGCGCCAATAAATGATACAATAATAAGTGAAGCGGAAATTTTAAGACGCGAAAAGTTTCACTTTCATAATTTTTTATATAACGCGCCTAACGTAAAAACAAGTATAACGTAAAAAAAAAAAACGTTTCGACAATTTATCTACTCGCTTTACGATCGAATCGTCGAAACATTCGCGGGCCGAATTCCGTGTGCGGATCGCATTGGCTCTAAAACGTAACCGCCTGTTGCAGTGCGGTAAACACTTCGACACGCAGACGCAGTGCATGGCCCATCACTACGAGGAGCACCCCGGCACCTCCTTCTGCCCCCCCAACGAGAGGCACATCTGCGAGATCTGCGGCGCTTCCCTAGCGGTAACTATTTCTTCGAACAATATAGAGTTAAATTTTACGTAACCCCCAGACATAAAGTCAAAGTATATTTATTCAATATAGGCCTAACTTAAGCTCTTATATATATATATATATATATGATTTTCAGCTATAATTTGTGTTACTATTACTAATTGCATATATATATATATATATATATATATATATATTTATAGCTGAAAATCATCTCGATCACATCAGCTTTCAAGGAAAAAGACGAGAAAAAGTTTAGAAGCCACGGTGCCACAGAATGTCACACAGAGACATAGACAGACTTATAAAACCCCTCTTTACATCGGAGGTTCATAACAGACAGACAGAGATAGTTTCTCTTTACCCTGTGGAATTGATAATTACTTTGACCATATTATTTCTCAGCGGCACGTCTTAACAGAGGGAGGTTTCTTCTTTTCAAGACCCTTGGCCATTGAGGACAAGTCAAGTAGAACTAAAACAACCTAAAGTAAAACAATCTTAACCACCACCTAGCAAGTTTGTGTCTTATAGGTGAAGAGAACTGTCCTCATTCTTTACAAGCGGCACGCTTTAACAGAGGGAGGTTTCTTCTTTTCAAGACCTCAGTCATTCAGGACAAGTCAACTCTCACCCAAAAGTAAAATAATCTCGACCTAACCTAACAATTTTGTGTCTTATAGGGGAAGAGAACTGACATTATCCTTTCCTAGTGGTAAGTCTTAACAGAGGGTGGTTTCTCCTTATTCAAGACCCTCGCAGTCATTGAGGAGAAGTCAACTCTCTCCCAAAAGTAAACTCATCTTTATCCCTACAGCAAGCTTGGGTCTTACGGGCGAAGAGAACTGATCTCATGCTTTACAAGCGGCAAGTCTTAACAGAGGGAGATTTAATCAAGACCTTCATTCATTGAAGACAAGTCAATTCTCTCCCAAAAGTCATTGAGGAGAAGTCAACTCTCTCCCAAAAGTAAACTCATCTTTATCCCTACAGCAAGCTTGGGTCTTACGGGCGAAGAGAACTGATCTCATGCTTTACAAGCGGCAAGTCTTAACAGAGGGAGATTTATCCTTTTTAAGACCTTCAGTCATTGAAGACAAGTCAATTCTCTCCCAAAAGTAAACTCATCTTGATCCCCACAGCAAGCTTGGGTCTTACGGGCGAAGAGAACTGATCTCATGCTTTACAAGCGGCAAGTCTTAACAGAGGGAGATTTATCCTTTTTAAGACCTTCAGTCATTGAAGACAAGTCAATTCTCTCCCAAAAGTAAACTCATCTTGATCCCCACAGCAAGCTGGGGTCTTACGGGCGAAGAGAACTTTCTTCATTCTTTACAAGTGGCAAGACTTAACAGTGGGTGGTTAATTTTTAAGACCATCGCTGCCATGGAAGGGTCAACAGAAAGTCAACTCTATCCCAAAAGTGAAGTGATATCGACAACCAAGTCAAAAACAAACAAACGAGTCAACTCTCCCCCGCCTTGTCCACCTTCAGGAATCTTGAATTCTGTCCACCACCCACCCAATTTGAGGAGGGATGGAGTTCTCATTGGAACTATTATATTGTTAACCCCGCGCAGCCGGGCAGCATAGCGATGCACCACAACATCCACACGCGCGAGAAGCTGCATAGCTGCGAGACGTGCGGCCGCCAGTTTCATTCCACGGCCGGCCTCAAGCGGCACAAGGTGGTGAGTGGTTCCAGTTAAACGGCACTGGTCTAGCGGACGTCTGCCAGTTCCGCTTTGTTTATAATGCCCCAACATTTACAACTTACTAAACCGAAGGGTATAAGGACACTACTTTACTGACCGACCATTGATTAAGTTGGTAACCATTGATGGTGTCGGTGGTAGGGCCACGCAACAGTGTTGCACGGATGGGCAGGTCCGTCCGGGTAAGCACCACGACCTCGCAGAAAACCGGCGTGAAGTGGAAATGGGACAAATACCTTTGCGTTTCGTCTGGTGAGAGAGGTAGCCGGTGCCCAATTTCCAACAATGGTTTTCAACGCACCTGCAAACCCTCGGGTGTAGCAGATGTCCATGGGCGGCGGTATTCACTTAACATCAGCTGAACCGTCTGCTCGCTTGGCATCTTTCACATTAAAAAAATAAAAAAAATTGTGCTGCTTTCGTTTATGTCACTACTTTACTGACTAAACAGTGATTAAGGATGAATGAATGAATGAATGAATGAATGAATGAATGAAATGAATGATATAAGTTCAGCGAATAGAACAAAATTGATAAGCGAAACCACTTTACTGATTAACTCGTAATCAAATGTGACGTAAAGTCAGCCATTCGTGCAACAGCCGAGGCTGCTGCGTGGCCCTACCGCCCAAAAATCATTAGCATTATCACTATTAGCTGAGTTTACGTCATCTCTAATCACGGGTTAGTCTGCAAAGTAGTTTCCTTTTATAATGCACTGTAAGCGTAAATACAAAAGCTCAATTATATATCATTGACATCGCTTTAGTTTAACTGTGGATATGTACTCACTCACTGAAATTTGCGTATTTGTGTGTAAAGTGGAGGTGTATGCTTTTAGTTTTTAAAGCTTTTGCCATTAAGTTGTCTAACGGCCGGTTTCAATATTCTATTTAGAAATCGATTTCGTTACTAGCGCTAGGTATTCGACACTAGCTCCATAATAATTACTTCGAAATTCCGTCTCCAGTGACCAAATCTATCTGCAGATAGAATGCTGAAACCGGCCATAGCCGCATTATGAGTGTGGTTTATAGATGACGGTGTACCGACCATCGTTCATATTTCAGACTCACACAGGCGAAAAGCCGTACGAGTGTCCCCTTTGCGAGAAACGCTTCACCCAGAGCAACAGCATGAAGCTCCACTACCGGACCTTCCACCTCAAACAACCTTACCCCAAACGGTGAGTCTGGTCTCTATCACCAATCAAAGTCAATGTCAAATATCTTTATTCAATATAGAAGCATACACTTACTTATTGATAGTCAAAAAACTCTACCACCGGTTCGGAAGGAAAGCCACTGGCCTGAGAAGTACCGGCGTAAGAAACTCAGCGGGACATTTTTTTATTTTACTTGCCAAAAACTACAAATATGCGTACAATTTATTAATTTCCACTTGAAAGAGCCTGGAACGATCAATTCATTTCCAGAGTGTGTCATCATTCAAATAATCACTAATACTATAATAGCCATTAACACACAAACGTTCTTTTACAAGTTTTTTGAATTTAGCATACGTCTCGACCCGATTGGCGCAGTGGCTAGTGCACCCGCCTCTTGCGTCAGGGTGTGGGTTCGAGCCCCACCACTGGAAAAATATTGTGTGTTGAACAGTGTTCTGAATGTTTATATATCTATTGTTAGAAGTAGAAACGATAACTGATTTATTAAAAGGGCTTTGGCCAGTAAGCCAAACTACGTTTCTAAATAACCGAAAATCGTTATTGATTCGGGCAGAACTTCAGCACGTTGCAACGGCTGACGAAAAACTGAACGAACATGATGAGCGCTGCTCGTTTTATAGCCCGTTGCAGTGTTGCCATTCGATGTTTCGATTTATTTCTAACACTATAATATGTATTTATTTACAAATGTAAATTATGTTTGGTTATGATTATTGGTTATCTAGTACCCATAGTACGAGCGTCGCTTATTTTTGGACTAGAGAACGCTGTGTAAAAATGTGTCCACACATTTCGTGTAACGACCGAAAATATGTCTGTATAATCCCGCCGGCTTTCTAATGGTGGGTTCATCGACCCCAAAAAAAATCAAAATCAGCTGGGTAGTTTTAGCGTATAACTTAGCGGTTAAACAGTCTGTAAAACTGTATTTGTTATTATGTATTAGTGTTAGTAACATCCTATACATGTCCACTACTGGACAAAGGCCTCTTCCGTACAGAAAGTATTTGGGCATAGTCCACCGCGCGGCCCTACTGCGGATTGGCGGACTTCACATATCTTCGAAATATGTGTTTTATTATTATTTCGAAAATATGCAAGTTTCCTCACTATGTTTCCTCCAACGCGGAGCACGTGATAAGTCAGCACTTAAAATTATCAATTTCATTGGTTCCGCCATCGGGATTTGGGCTTAGCTTTTAATTCAACGCCTCGGTCTTCAATTGAATTTAGTCTAGTATTGTTCGCACCGGAGTAATTTGGATTAGAGGCGAGCGCCCGGACACTGAGCTATCAAGGCTATCATAATTTTATGTTAAATTCTCACTGAATAGTATTGTTTCCTCAGCGTCAGGACTAAGAAGAAAGACGATATCCAAGATGCAGTTCCGATGGAGAGCGGTGAAGACTCTTTCTAGAAATATGGAAAATTGTAGCGAATGATATGACAGAACGACTGAATGAACGAACAAACGAATGAATGAAGGAAGGAATGAATGAGCGGTATAATATGTCTTAAGCACTTGAATTGAACAATATGCATTTAAATATGTATGATATAAGCTTATAATTATTTAATCATAAGAAATAAAAATTGTAAATAATATTTATGTGAATAAAGAGTTACTATTGTTTCCTTGGCTAACATTTTTATTTGTAGCATAGCATATTTGCAAATATAATATTTTAAAATGAGCTGCGTGTAATAATGGGTCAAAAAGAGACTGTTGCGTGGCCCTACCACTACAAATAATTAGTTGAGCACAAATCTCTAAAGTATTTTTTACGTCCAGCATCTCTTTTTTGGCTTCGGCGTGAAATATCGTAGTTTCGACACCAGCTTACTACCAGTTTATTTGACTTTGTAATGAAAAAAGAAAGAAAATACATTTATTTACCAAAAAAGGACGCACACAATAAAAGAGAAAGAAAAACTCTACTAAAAACTCTCAAAAAATAAAAGAAATTAAAATGAATACTTATAAATAATTCAGCAAAGCAAAAGAACACAAATACATAATTAAAATATAAAACAAATGAAAAATAACTTTAACAAAACAAAAATATTGTACGCCCTATTCCGGTAAATTAGGTTGGCAGCTCAGCTGGAACACTGGAAACTTCTCTAACATCATTTTTGCCTAAAGTAATCCGTTATGAATGATAGAAGAAAACATAGTAATGCGTAAATTGACCTATTACGCGGCCTAATGCGTAATCATTATGTAACAATTGTCAATTGGGATGATAATACCCTATATGCTCGCAAGTGTGCGAGATAACATTTTCCACTTAGCCCCAATTATGCCGTAGAGAGATAAATCGTTGAGTCTACCTGTCAGTTACGCATTTATTTGACATTGCCCCATTAAAAGATTATCGTTAATATCCTGGTGACCTGGCATTTACAATCCATTGTCACACAAATTAATGTTGGTATTTTAGTGTTTTTGATATTGAACATTTCAAATTAAAGCATTATATTCTACTAGCTGCTGCCCGCCACTACGTCTGCGTAGAACAGGCTGAAGGCGTAACATTCAGACAGAAAGACAGATATACATAAAAATATGTATATAAATTATAGCCTATTTCTTATTTTGATGTATAAGCTATATTATTGTAAAGTTTCAATAAAATCTATTCAGTAGTATTTGTGTGAAAGAGTAAAAAACATCCATCCATATATACAAACTTTCGCCTTTATAATATTAGTAAGGATGAAGGCCTTCGTGACACACCAGATTCGATTCCGTCTAAACTTGGGCGGTACTCCAGGTCCTTCAGAGCTGCCAAGTTGACTGTCGGTATTACGAGGTGCTGAGATTTGTGTATCAAGGCCACGACATCCGTTCAAATACAATCCAGTAGTACAAAACCTATCCAACAGCAGAGTGGCACAGGGTGATGTTATATCCCCGAAACTCTTCACCGCTGTATTTGAAGATGTTTTCATAGTTCTGGACTGGAAAAGACGTGGTTTGACAACAATGGCGAAAACATTCGACCTTCGATTTGCCGACGACAAAATCATAATGGCAGAACTGCTGAAGGATCTTGGCATTAAGCTCAATGACCTTAACAATGTCTGCCCGGTTGGGCCATAAAATGAACATGGGTAAAGATCCATGTCATGTCTGTACCGGTTGTCGGGAACAGAGTGTTCGAAGTTGACGAGTATGTTTACTTAGGACGGTAATTCGATTTAGGTTAGTCCAACTTCAATGGACAGCGTTCGGGAAACTTCAGCATATCTTTCCATTATCGCTCAATATTTGATGACTATAGTCTTCAATCAATGTGTGAACAGTCTGCTGGCCTTTAAATGATGGCTGGCTGAAATGATGATGATATGGAACATATCGTTTTAGTTTATAAATCTTTCTTAAAAATATAATCACCGTTTGCTTAAGGGTTTTCCCGGTGCCTGCGCTACAGACAGCTTAAATTATAAATAAAACTAAATTTATTAATATGTATAAATTCATGTATAAACCATAGACTGTTCTTAATACTTGTAACACTCGCGTTGGAAGTCGACCGTTTTAGATTTTAAATATATTCGTTTATGAGCGGTTAACGACTTGCATTCAAATTTGTACATTCGCACTGACTTCCAACAGTAACGGACTCGCATTCGAATAAAAACCTAACTATTTTTAATTGAAATTATATTAATATAACACCTTCAGAAGCTTTATTTCGTCTTCCTTGTTCTACCCTGAACACCCAGTATATGTCTCATGTACATAGAGGCAGTTATTTCACATCTTGATGAGTGGTTAGTTGTCTCAGCAACGAACAAATAGCAGATGTAAAAAACCCCATATTCATCTGACCACGGCGCGATATCCGTCATCCTGCCTAATCTACATTATTGAAGTTTATTCAGCACTAAATAGTTTATAATCGAGGCTTGATAACTGCGAATCCTGAGAGCGGATTCGGAGTTAGCCTGGCTCAGTCCGACTAAACCATTGGCTGGACTAGTAGCCACTAAGTGTTGCTGTCGAAAATGTCCGTCCTGCACCAAGCTTTGTACGCCGTCGTAGGTGAGTTTCCAACATTCTCAATGTGATTAGCAGTCATCATTAAAAACAAAACACCGTTGTTTCATTACCTACGAATTAAATCGGTGATTTATTGTTAAATGAAGCTGTTTTACGGATTTTTTCTAATTAAAACGCGATAAAATCCGTAAATACCTGCATTTAAAAATGTATAATATTCGCGTAAACACAAGCAATCACTAAATGAACTATTTATAAAAAAAAAAAGAAACCGGTTTTGAAATGGGATTAATAGGAAATCTCTTACTTGCCCAAAACAGTGTTTTGATAGGATTAAACGCATGTATTAAAACTACAGAACAAAAGCATTTTTTTAATAAACATTGTTTTTAATATTTTCCATTGTTTATTTATTTTTGGTAATAATTGAACAAGGGCACAAATAGTATTCTAATTTTTGCCTGTTTAAGCTGTTTCACGAATATTTAAACTAATTAACTGTACTAAATAACATTTGTTATCCAAAAAACCAAATATTGCCTTTTTTGTTTGCCGCACCCACGAAGACGTCAACATCTTTTATTAACTTTTTTTTTTGCATTTTAGACACATTATGCTCGGCGCATCTTTTGTTATATCCGTTACAGCATACAAACAATTTAAAATATCGTTTTACAACGATAATTCGAACGGGACATGTCACCATTGTTATAAGAAATATTTAAATATTAGTAGTGCCAATCTCTGCACTTAAGTAGAAAAAGGGCGAAAAGTTTTTCGCCGCTGCGGTAATCGAACCCATGTTTTAAGGATTCGTGCCCAGATCCTGTAACCACTAATCACACGTCATGATTGCCACATTGACGAAAATTTAAACGTCTTTTACCTACTTTTTTTTTTCGCGTTTTAAGCAATTCCTGGCGCATTAATAACATTGAAACAAACCTGAATTGGCCAATTTAAACCAATTTTGACTTCGACCTTGACTTCAGTGTGTTACGCGTGTGTGGGCATGAGTCTTGTGATCGCTTGGCCATCTTCGACCCTGAGACTCTTCTCATCCACCAACACGACTCTGCATCGACCGATGAGCGAGACGGAGACAGCGCTGTTCGGGAGCCTCTCATCTATCGGCGCTCTTCTAGCCACACCCCTCTCCGGATTCCTCCTTGACGCTATCGGCAGAAAGAACAGCTGTATGCTGTTTTCGTTGCCACATTTAGTAAGGAAGTGTTCATAAAATAACACTTTACTAACAAAAAACTTAAATTAAAATTAAATTAAAATGGGGCCCCGTTGAAAATATGCCACTTCTAACAAGAAAAGAGATTAATAAACGACGGAGTTCAGAGAAAAAAAAAAATACAACCAGTTTACCACTTCCACATCACGCCCGTCTTCTGCGAGGCCGTGGTTCTTCTCCGGATGAGCGTGCAAAATCATAAGATGTTGTGTGGTCCTACCACATTTAATTCATTATCTTTACCGCAGTAAAAAAAATATAATATCTACCATAGTAAAAATTCATATTCTTTTATCAAAGATATCTTCTTTTAGATCTCATGGGTTATCGTAGTGCTGAATAGCCGTGTGGAAGCAATTCTTGCGGCGAGATTCGTCTCGGGACTTGGCGGCTGTCAGCTGCTTGTCGTTTCGGTCTACGTCAGCGAGTTCTGCCAGGAGTCGATCAGAGGGATGATGACCTCGGGGGCGATCATCGCCTATGGCTTGGGCATGCTGGTGTCCTACCTTCTTGGCGGCTGTCTGGAATACGACACGAAGAATTACGTGTACCTCACGATGACTGCATTCGGCATCCTAATACTTTTGCCGTTGAAGGAATCACCGATGTTCCTAATGAAGAAGGGCCGAGAAAAGGTTATGAAAATCAGTTTAAAAATTTTAACACTCACTCATTAGATTGTTGTTCTCATTCAAAGTCAAAGTCAAAATTTCTTTATTCAATAAAGGCTTATTTTAAACTCTTATTGAACTTCAAAAACTACCACTAAGTAACTCTACTACCACTACACTAAACTAGACCTGTCAAGAGAAGAAACGGCACGAAACTCTGCAGTCTTTTCTTTTTCTTTGTACTATGTCAGTACATACACATTGTATAGGGGCTATAAGTGGCTATAAGAGGATGGAGACCGTGGACAATGCAAATTATTATACGAACGGAATTAACGTTAAATAAACACAATACATTTTTTTATGCGAAAAGCTGTCAAACGAGCAGTAGGTTCACCTGATGTTAAGTGAATTCCGCCGCCCATGGACATCTGCCACACCCGAGGGTTTGCAGATGCGTTGAGAACCTTTTGAAAATTGGGCTCCGGCTACCTCACTCACCAGACGAAACGCGAAAGTATTTGTTATACTTCCACTTTACTCCGATCTTCTGTGAGGTCGTGGTACTTACCCGGACGGACCTGCCCATTCGTGCAACAGCCGAGGCTGCTGCGTTGCCCTACCACCGTAAAACACAACATTTCATAAAACAATTTCATTCAATAATGTGATGAATAGAGGGAGGCCTTCCAACGCTACGTCTTCCGGTTCGTGGTCGCCACTCGAGAACTTTTACGCTCCATCGGTCATCAGTTCTTCGAGCGGTGTGGCCTGCCCATTGCCACTTCAGGAGAAAATCCCGACAACCGGTGTCGTTCGTTGTGGCGTTCTAAAGGGGAGGCCTATTGAACATAGGACATATAACACGAGTGGACTTCTTGCGGCTGATTATGATGATGATGAATAATTGATTTTGTATTTTACTTTGTAATTATTTTCATTTATTTTGTATTTTAGGAAGCAGCAAAAGCAGTTGCCTTTTATAGAGGATACAAGGAGAGCTCTAAGGAAGTAATACAAGAGATTATTATGTTAAGAAGAGCGCTTAATCCCGATCTCGATGGTAATATTCTTTTCAGGAAAAAAAAACGTTACTGTAATTAATTAATCCATTTTTTTTATGGGAAAAAAGCAGCAAACGAGCAGGAGGCTCACCTGATGGTAAGTGATCACCGCCGCCCATGGACATCTGCAACACCCGAGGGCTTACAAATGCGTTGCCGGCCTTTTAGGAATGAGTACGCTCTCTTCTTGAAGGTTCCCAGGTCGTAACGGTTTGTGTTGTGTTCTGTTGTGGAACGCTGGACATCGAGGTGGTGTGGTTGAAATTTTTGGTTTTGGCGCGATGTCCGATGGTGAAATTCAGCCGCTGGGATCAATCCAAACAATTCCTCGGAACAGTCCCCGTGATAGATGCGGTAGAAGATGCAGAGTGACCCAACATCTCTACGCATAGCCAAAGGATCAAGCTGATCGGAAAGACCTTGATCGTCGATAACCCTAGATGCCCTACGTTGGATGCGGTCAAATGGAAGAAGCTGGTAACAGGGGGCTCCCGCCCAGAGGTGAGAGCACTACTCCATGTGGGGCCGAATTTGCGCCTTATAATGGTTTAGACGTTGAGCCGACGTGAAGTACTGTCTCGCCTTGCTGAGCACACCGAGCTTCTTTGATACCAATTTGGCCTTACTTTCCAATTGACCGCGGAACTGGACATTGCTCGAGATTTCGACGCCAAGTATTCCGATACTAGCTGTGACAGACAGGGGAGTGTTCTAAAAATGAGGAGCCACGACAAATGGGGACGTTTTAGCGGTTAACGCGAAAACTTGTGTCTTATCGGGGTTGAATTGGACTAAATTTAGTCAACCCCAGTCTGAGACTTTTGTTAACAAAGTCTCGACTTCAGATACAAGTTTGTTCCGGCTCTCGTAGACGTTTTCCCGAGAAATGTTAGCACGGCCTGTGTACGACACATCCACAGTGCTATCATCCGCATAGCAATGAACGCTGCTGATTTGCAACATATCATTGATATGCAGAAGAAACAAAGTGGGAGACAGTACGCAGCCTTGTGGAACACCAGCATTGACAAATTTAGGATCAGAGCATGCACCGTCGCCGACGACCTTGATGCTCCGATCTGCCAAAAAGCTGGTGATCCAGTTGCATAACTTTCCGGGAAGCCCATAGGAAGGCAGCTTCGAAAGAAGTGCTTTGTGCCACACCCGATCAAAGGCTTTCGCTACGTCCAGACTGGCTGCAAGCGCCTCCCCCTTGCTCTCAACTGCTTCTGCCCATCTGTGTGTCAGGTAAACCAGAAGATCACTGGTTGAGCGACCTCGACGAAAGCCGTACTGGCGGTCGCTAATCAGCCGGTGCTCCTCTAGGTACCGCAAGAGCTGGCAGTTAATGATGGTCTCCATTATCTTGGAGAACAAGGAGGTGATGGCTATAGGCCTGTAGTTGGACGGATCCGAGCTATTGCCTTTCTTAGGGATCGGGTGCACTAAAGCGGCCTTCCAGGATTTCGGGAATACGCCTAGAGTATAGGAGAGCCGGAAAAGACGCGTCAAAACCGGTGCCAAGTCTGGAGCACATGTCTTCAACACCATCGGAGGGATGCCATCGGGCCCACTCGACTTATGAATGTCCAAGGAAAAGAGTGCTCTGCGAACTGCACTTTGCCGAAATTGAACCTCCGGCATCGTAGCATCGCAACGCGGGATTGTTGGTGGTAATTTTCCTCGGTCATCCAAAGTCGAGTTGGACGCGAAGAGAGAGCCCAGAAGATCCCTTTCTCCTTCGCGGCATGGGCCAGCGAGTCATCCTCCGTGTGCAGGGGTGGAAAAGAAGGCTTACAGAAATTTCCCAAGACAGCTTTGGCGAGAGACCAAAACGCACGTGTTCCCGTTAGGAGACGCGCCAATCTCTCGCCAATTCTGCCAATGTGTTCCGATTTCGCCTTAGCAATAACACTTTTGAAGGACCTAGAGGCAGAGTTATACTTATTTTTTAAAGCACTGGTTTTTACATCACTAGACGTCGAAGCGTCAGCCCAAGTCTGGTAGCATTCCCGCTTTCGGCGTAATGCCAACTTACAGGAGCGACCAAACCAAGGCTGCGACTTGCCACCAATGGGCACTGCAGAGAACGGAATAAAGAGTTCCATACCTTGAAGCACCACATCAGTCACTGAGTCAGCAACGACGTCTGGATCATCCGGCGAGAAGCAAATCTGCCCCCATGGGTAGGACGCAAAGAATGACCGCATCCCATCCCAATCTGCTGACCTATAATGCCATACGCGGCGGCAGCCCGCAAAGTGAGGCCGCGTTAAGCGCGTTATTGGCACTGTGCTCCGGACAAGACAGTGGTCCGACGAGCCGAGGGGAGGATCGACGGAAACCAAGTATCCGTCCGGATGAGAGGTCAACAGAAGGTCCAACAGGGAAGGTGTATGATCCTCCACATCTGGGATTCGCGTTGGCGAGGTAACCAGTTGTGTCAGATCATATGTCAATGCGAAATCGTGAGCAGATCTCCCCGCGTGGTCGGTGGTACGAGATCTAAGCCACTCGGCGTGATGAGCTTTAAAGTCGCCGAGAATTACGATTTCCGCGGATGGGATCTGCTGCAACACGGAATCTGTAGCCATTTGTATGTGCTCAAAGAGTCGGTCAGTTTCGGCATTACCGCTATGGGACCTATACAGACACGCGTAGATTCGCGGATGGTCGTCGCAGTCTACGCGTAGCCAGAGTATGGATAGGTCCCGTCCTTCAAGGGCGTCGAGGCGACGAGAGCATATATCCTCTCTGACGTACACGCACACCCCAGCCCGCGGCACAAAGGAATGTTCCAGTTTGTACCCCGGGTAGGAGAGGAATGAGGTGTCAGCTGGAGAAGATATCTGCGTCTCGGTAAGGAAAAGCAAGGCCGGCTTCGCCGTTTCAAGATGGAAGTGGACGGCGTTTAAGTTGGGCATTCACGCTCAGACGTTGTACGGCCTGCGCGTGGACGTCCCGAGAGGGATTCTCCACCGCGCTGTATGCTGGTGGTACCCTCCTGGGGAAGAAAATTTAAATTTCGCGCAGACATTATGGGGGAGGAATGGGGAGAGGGCGTCCGGGACTCTCAAAGACCAAACGAAACGCGACAGCATAGCTGCCACTTGACGTCGGTTTCTAGTGAGAGAGTGGTTCTTCCCCGGGCGTGCCGGCCCAATCCGTCTGCTACCCGAAGGTGCGCAGCATGGCACTACCACTAGTTGGGTTGACTGACTGCACTGGTGGAATAATCTCTGTCACAAGATTATCCCACCAGCGGGCGATGGGGTCGTCACGTCCCGACGCTATTATTTATATACTTTTATACATTTTCCAAATTTATAGAAAAAATTTTGTATACTAAAAATTAAAAGGAGACAAGACAAAAGTGCATGATACTTTTGTCTTGTCTCCTTTTAATTTTATTATACATTTGATAGACTTATCGCAGGTAAAATAGTTATAAAATTAATAATTATTTCTACAGATAAAATTCCTGAGGAGATGAAACTGAAATCAGAAGTTAAAGAAAAGGAAAATATATCAAAATGGACCTTTATAAGTGAGTTTCTTCTACATTTATTTATATAATTTTATGTTAAAGAACAAAACCCAATACATGGACATTTCAAAATTCTAGGTATTATCAAGTAATCTGAAGCAATCTTCATATATGTTGTTTGTCATGCAGCTTTAGTAAATATTTTTTGGCCAAACCACTCTAAATAACATAATAACATATACAAAAGTTTCCTAAGTATAATTTTCTGATTGTATGTATAAAATTTAATAACTGTTGTCTCAAAATTTAATAACCAGACAAGCATATTTTTCACTCAGATTTGAGATACATGTATACATATTTTTCACTCGGACTCAAATTTCATTGAGATTTCAGTTTTACTGCATATTACAGTAAAACTTAAATACACAGTTATATTAGCCTAGACTTTAAAATACACACATAATGAAAGGACAGCGAACAAATAAAGTTATCATTCAAGATATCCTCAAGTTGGGCGTAGGACGGTGAAGCTAGCCAGCCAATGACACACAATATTCGTGTGATCTCTTGTTTATGATGTCACAGTATTTAGCTACTTTGTTGTTGAGAGGAGCCATTCCTCGCAACACAAAACGTTGGGCGAATACAGTATTAACCGCTGGCATATTCGAAGGCATTACACCTTCGACTCAATAAATATCATAATATATGTTTTCTAAAAAAATTATTAAATAGAACTTACACATTTTTCCAGAGAAGTCCCATTCGACGCGTAGAGCTCTGTTCGTAGCCTTGACGCTCTACACGGCCGCCATATTCCAAGGCCTGGTGGTGGTGCAAGTCTACGCGGAGCCCCTGTTCGAAGAGGCCCTACCAAACATGTCTTCAACGCTGTGCAGTGTGCTCTTTGCCATCGTGACAGTGGCCGCTGGCTGCGTCGCTGCCTACTTGATAGACGCAACCGGAAGGCGGGTGAGTGTGCTCTTACGCCCACGCAGTAGCAAACATCGTCATCATCATTAGAAGCTGTTTGAGTCCACTGCTGAACATAATCCTCCCCCTTCGCGAACATTTCAAAGACAAAACAAACGATTCTTCGATTGAGCCAAAAATCATCCCAACCCTACGGTGGTAAGCGCAGCAAACTACCAACCAAAGCTAACTAACGCGAGCGTCAATAAGCGTCGTCCGCGCAACGCCCTCGTCGACCTGGTCGAGGAAGGGGACCTAAGTACGTCGGACCCACCGTCGAGGGTCCTGCCAGATAACACTACACACACAGTTAGTGCATAAACACCATAGTTCGTCCTCGCCTTCGAGCACGGCGAAACCAACACAACGCGTACACTAGGTACACCCGTGTTCCAGCGCGGTTCTTACTGCCCCCAGCCACCGTCTAACCAATCACAGTCAACGGCTATCGGGGTCACGGTCCGCACCGAACCTCGATAGCCCGTAGGCGACACTCCTTAGCCAACGTACGCATGAGCGTGGCCCTACCAACTGTGGAGGGGTTCAAGCCCGTGGGTTCTGGCTAGTCCACCGGTTCTGCGTCCGATGAAGCTTTAATAGTCTCCGGACCGAAAACGTTAACGTCAGCTAAAAATGAAAAATCGTCCCCCATAGAGTGCCACGAAGCAAGATCCTGAGCATCTTCTCACTGCAGCAACTGACCTCCCATAGCTCTTTACTCTTAATGAACCTCGTTATTCCAGTTCACTAAGTTGGACAAATTACTTAACTTAATTATAAGACAAGTGTTTTTTTTTTAAAAAAAACATTGCCCTTACTTTAGTATAACATTATTCTGTGATGTTTTAAAAACATAAATGTGCGCAATGCACGTTTCAGTGTGCTGGATTGGTAAAGAAACAAGAATGTCGTGAAGACAGAAAGAACACTGTTTATTTTCAGACGTTTGTACAAGTTTTTTCTTATGCAATAAAACGTTCTTCTAGTGGCTGCAGGCTCCTCCTCTTCCAGGCTGCAGGGCTTCTTTCTTGCTGACTTCTTCTAGTTGCTTGTTCCACTGGTAGATCTTGATGCTCGTCGACTGCGATGATGCCCCGAAACGCCGCTATATTTATGTGATCCTGTGGGAATTAATTCCTGCTGTCTGATTGGTTGTCGTATTGGTATCCAATCAGAGAGCTTACATTTTTTCTTTGGCACCCTCTTGGTGCGTTACCTTAAAGAATTCGAGGTCTTATGACTATATTACAAATAATTAAATTTAATTAATTACGATAACACTATGAAAATACATTTTTTCCCTAATTATTTTATCGTACTAATTTTACAACATATGTGTTAATAGTCATATAAAACCAGTTAAACAATTAAAATCTTATAGTATTTCATTATACAGACATTTTTATAGGCAATCTAAAATAAGCAAGTTTTAAGCAAGTTTTAAGCAAAGTTTTAAGCAAAGCGAAAGGGTAGCCATTCTTGATGTGCTCCGTTGAAGTGCGGTAGCTCGATGCACTTCGGTCGCTGTGCGGCATTGACAGCTTTGGTGATCGCTACGGCCAGTTCTGTCAGGTCTGACTGTGCTCCCGCCGCTGTTGATCGTGTTGGCTGCGGTGGGTGATGCTCGTCGGTGGCGGTCTTTTTGTCGATAGGAGCCGCCTGCACCCTTGTGGGTACGTGAGATTCTACCCAGTTGTCGACACGTTCGTCTATTTCGATCTTCGAGCAGGCGGAGTCGTCGTCCGTGTCTTCGGTTTCCATGGCTGCTATTCTGGCTGTGACGAGTTCAATCTGTAATCGCAATAATTCTTCCTTGGCCTTAGCAATCCTGTGTGCTTTCGACTGGCCTCGTATTGAACCGCCTTTTCTCTTGCCTGGTGACCGGACGTCGACCTGTTTTCTTTGTTCTGTTCTGCTTTTTTCCGCAGTGGCCGTAGATGCCCCCATAGGTGCCGTGGATGTGGCTTGAGCGGGGTGCGCTTCGATGGCAGTCGTGGCGTTGGACGTTGTTCTATCAGTGGTTTGTTCGGTGGCTGGTGACTCCTCGACGTGAGATGTGGCTTCGCTGCGTTCCGTAGCCGTCGTTCCCGTCGCCGTGGTTTCCGTCGTGGTGGTTTCTTCCGTAGTCGCTGTCCCACTGCCGGAGCTGGTACCCAATGTTTCTTCGGACGACGGTTCTAACTCCGTTGGCTTGCGGCCTTTTCCGACGGATCTTGTCACTGGCATTGTGTATTCGTTCTTCTTTTTTCCTTACTTCCGATCCGGCTCTTGAAGGACCATTAAATGTGCGCAATGCACGTTTCAGTGTGCTGGATTGGTAAAGAAACAAGAATGTCGTGAAGACAGAAAGAACACTGTTTATTTTCAGACGTTTGTACAAGTTTTTTCTTATGCAATAAAACGTTCTCCTAGTGGCTGCAGGCTCCTCCTCTTCCAGGCTGCAGGGCTTCTTTCTTGCTGACTTCTTCTAGTTGCTTGTTCCACTGATAGATCTTGATGCTCGTCGACTGCGATGATGCCCCGAAACGCCGCTATATTTATGTGATCCTGTGGGAATTAATTCCTGCTCTCTGATTGGTTGTCGTATTGGTATCCAATCAGAGAGCTTACATTTTTTCTTTGGCACCCTCTTGGTGCGTTACCTTAAAGAATTCGAGGTCTTATGACTATATTACAAATAATTAAATTTAATTAACTACGATAACACTATGAAAATAAATTTTTTCCCTAATTATTTTATCGTACTAATTTTACAACATTTGTGTTAATAGTCATATAAAACCAGTTAAACAATTAAAATCTTATAGTATTTCATTATACAGACATTTTTATAGGCAATCTAAAATAAGCAAGTTTTAAGCAAGTTTTAAGCAAAGTTTTAAGCAGTTTTAAGCAATTATTTCGACTTACGTTACATGAATTAAACAGTAAATTACTTATACAAACACTATTAAACTAAGTTATCCCGCACAATAAATTTCACGTGGACAAACACCCAGACGCGAAACAACTATCAGTGCGTCTCACAAATAGTTGTCGCGTGGGGTGGGGATTGAACCCACGACCCACGACGCCGAAGCCAATACCTTGGCAACTGCCACGCAGTCATCAGAAAGGCTAAGTGAATGATTTATTTATTTATACTTTTTGATTGCTTTCAACAGACGCTCATGATCTTCGCCTCGATCGCGTCAGGAGTTTGCTGCACTATGCTGGGCTCTCAGATCCATTTGCACTGGGGCCCGCACTGGATTACGGCCGTCTTCATCTACCTTTTCTGCGTTACATTCACTTTTGGTGCGGGTACAGTGCCGTTTGTACTGGTGGCGGAAGTGTTTTTGCCAGAGGTGAGAACGACGTTTCTTTTTATATTCTACGTGGAGAGCGAGCTGGTGGTTCACCTGTTGTTAAGTGGTCAGCCGCCCACGGACGTTTGCAACTCCCGTATGGTTGATGCGTTGCCACCTTTCATAACCGTTTCCTATATTAAACGAACGGCCATTAGTTACATAGCTTCGTAACGTAAGTTACTAGCATTCCTTTAATCTACAAGTCGTTATGAAAGCTACAAAGCTATGTAACTAACGGCCGTACGTTGAATGTAGGAACTGGGCATTAATAATGTTCGCTCCGGCTACCTCACCCAGAAACGCAGAATTATGACAATTCCAATTCACGCCGGTGTGAGTTGTGAGGTCTTGGGCGTTAGGGTAGGACGGCCTGTCGATTTGTGCCACAGGCGAGGCTATTGTGTGGCCCTACCGTTCTATATTATATCATCTGCTACATTCACTTACTTATGTGATATAATGTAAAGCGGAACAATTTAAACGCCGCGCACTACGGACATGCGTTACCTTTGTTAGAAGACCATTGGAAAGACATAGACAAATTTTCCCATAAGTCGATTGAGAATTTCGTATTGCGCATTTCAGATCAAAAGTTTAGTGTCCATGGTCTGTATGGAGTGGGCCTGGATCTGCAACTTCGTTATCCTGTTCATCTTCAACCCGCTGGTGACCCTGATAGGGCTGGGCCCGGTCTTCTACCTCTTCTCCACCGTCTGCTTCGGCTCTGCTGCTTTCTGCTACTTCTTCCTGCCGGAGACTAAGGGGGTTCCCGTTGACGTCATACAGACGCTGTTCGCCAAGAAGAGAATTCCTCTCGACTCCTGCTAGAATTTCACCATTTCGGTATTTTTTGTATAGCTTGGATGATTGGAATAATAATAATATACTTTATTGTTCACCAAATAAGAAAAAGCTAAATAGTTATCAAAAAGATGACCTTATTGCTACACAGCAATTTTTCTAGGTAAACTTAGAAATTTACGAAATTTCTAAGGAATGTGAAACGCGAATAGACTGATGGATATTTTTTACGGATATTTATTCTATGATTTACGATTTTATTTCATTGTTGTAGGTATGTTAGTACGTCATAAGAAAGTTTCATCGATTATTTGAAGAACATATCGACTTAATGGAAACTATGGAGTTTTCGATTAGAGAAAATAAAAAAGAGTAGAAGTTGAGTTCATATTTAGTTTTCACGCAAATAATCATGTACAGGTGTTTTAATATCTTGTCACTTTGTTATAAGCTTATTAATGTGTACACGTATATAATTTGGACGATGTATATTAAAAGATGCAAGAATGAGCTTGTCCAATGGGAGGAACACACAAAATGTAACGAAATTAGGAACAGACTATCAGCGGTCATTCACTATTATCTAATAAACGGTGTTTTGACAATGATATTGGTTACAAATACGAGGTAGATATGACACTAGCGCATCGAAACTGAGGCACTCAAATTACGCCAATTGGTGTAATCATATTGCAATTCTATAGACTGCTATCTATTTCTGTATCATACGTTCTATATCACCTGTAACATTCACCTATATAAGTCATATAATGCAAAGCGGAACACTGTTTAAACGTTACGTAAGTACAGACATAAGCACGTAATATTTATTGGATGGAACCCACATCACTGTGTGTTGACGACCAACGTGCGGCTGAACTTCTTCAGTCCGGAACAAAAGTACGCCAATCATCGGCGAGCTGAGCAGCCGAGCTCTTTCAACTGAAAATCTAGATCAGTCTAGACAAGGATAGAAATAACGTGTCAGCAGTAGCTGAGGCAGAAATCAGCCAGGCATACATTATCATATTCATCACCACAATGTGACACATTTGAGTTAGATTTACATTGAATTACTTACAGTTAATGTACTTTACTAACTCAAAATTAATATAATTAATTAATAAAAAGTCAAGTTAGTTACGATAAGTAATCATTTTTGTTATTGAATTATTATTAGGACAGTGTTCTTGTAATGTTTGGGATTCTTTATCACGACGTTTCGTGATGTAACATACAGACCATAATATGGTGTCGTGAAATTCAGTGGATATGTTTTTTGGATGTGAAACATTTAACAAATATTAGGAATTTTACATATTTCTGTAAGTGGTAAAAAATTATGGCGTCTGTTATCATCATGTTATAATCAAAATAATATATAATATATCATTGTGTTTATAGTTATTGAATCTATATTTTTAAACAAATTATCATATACCTATGTTTCCATTTTATATATTCGTAACTAAAGAAAAGGTTTTAAACGCAATTCTGTTACAGTTTCTTTTATAAACGTTCCATTTTATTACTCTCAAACATATTTTATTTAGTTCTTATTAATTAACACATAGCGATAGGAACTACGATGTAGCCGGATACACCTGTTGTTTTTAAATATTTAAACGCACAAGTCGCCAGAAATTAGCATTAATTAATCATATGGAAACTACACGGAAAAACCGTTAAAGAGTATTTTACGTAATAGTATCTTTTTTATCTTAATTGCGGCGCGTTTGAATCGAGTCTTTTTGTATGGGCGAAGATTAAACTGTGTTTTATATATAAACACAATTTGTATTATCTCTTCCATTATTGTCTTAGCGATTCATCTCACTCGTCAACTGCGGCGCCATCTATTTTCGAAAGGTTTTTTTCATTATCATCATTTCAGCCTGCTTTAAGCTGTTTTAATCCACTGAAAAGACACAATTTTTTAGATCTTTTTATTAAAACACTTTCATTGAAAAATTTATTGGTTTATTGGTTAAATTCAAATTTTAAGTGAGTATTTTAAGTGTTAGAGTCACGAAGCAGCCTGTTGCACGAATGGGCAGGCTCGTCCGGGTAAGTACCGTGACCTCACAGAAGACCGAAGTGGAAGTACAATACTTTCGCGTTTCGTTCGGTGAGTGAGGTAGCCGGTGCCCAATTTCCAAAAAGGTTGTCAACGCATCTGCAAACCCTCTGGTTTAGCAGATGTCTATAGGCGGCGGTATTCACTTAACATCAGGTGAACCGTCTGCTCGTTTGGCAACTTTTCACATTAAAAAAAATGATATCTGTTTTCTAAGGTGTGCGACTGTGGTACATATTTTTATAAAAAAACAAAACGTACATGATAATTTGTCACAGAAATAATGATTTAGTGTAGAAAAAATAAGAAGATACACATTACTAAAACCCCTTCTATTTTTTTAATCACAAAATTGGCATCATTCCTTTTAAGAGTTACACAAGAGATTTAAAATCAATTTACTCGAGCAACCTGAGTTCGATCCCTGGTACCAGCACCAATGAAAATGTTAAAGTTAAGTGCTGACTTCTCACGTGCTCAGCGGTGAAGGAAAACATCGTGAGGAAACCTGCATATTTTCGAAACAATAAAAGATATTTCGAAGATATGTGAAGTCCGCCAATCCGCAGATGCTTATTTAGAAACAATAGATCAGTGACAAATATCTTAATGCGAAATGAATGAAAGAAAAGTAAAATCCTTAACATAAATAATGCAAACTGAACAGATGGTGTTACCTCACCTTATAACGTGAGTGTATCTCCACTAATGATATGAAAACGGGCTGCATTTATCGCGGGATAAACAATATATCATTGTTATATCTTGGGATGTAACATATAAGAAGTTGTGCCGTAGACATTGTGACAACGTAGACAATACTAAGACCGTTTCTATCTGTAACACAATTTTAAAAAAACTAAAAAATAAATAGTATAGTAGTCTTAAATATGTCATTCTAATAATTCATAAGAAGTTCCAGGCGTTTGACCACTGAGAGAAGAGCTAACACAGCGATCATTTTTTTATGCATTCAGTGGGCAAGCTAGTAAGCAGTTTTGATTTACTGTAACATGGAACTTTACAATTTCTGTAGAGTCTACATATGTGTTGGAAACCATTGAAACAGTGGGCCCCAAACTTCGTTCACCAGAAGAAAAAGCAACAGTATATTTCAGATTTTTTGATTACGTAATAATATAAATGTATAACAATATAAAAGACGGCGGTTATCACTTAACATCAGGTGAACGGCCGTCTCGTTTGCGGAAAAAAAAAACACAATAACCTCTTCTAGCTTGTATGTGAACGTTCCTTAGGGTCTTAACGCTAATCCACAAGCTTTAAGTTTTGTTTGCCCAAGAAATAGTGTAGAGTTAAGAATAGACTGACTTGAAAGATGTTATCAGTCATACATTGTACGGTCGTGATGTGTGTGGCAGATGGAAAAAGTGTCAATACTCAAATGTTAACAAAATATAGAACACGAAAGCAGTAAATATGACTATCATCTTCCAGGCTTTGGCGACGGGCATAGGTAATGTAGAGAAATTGTATTTCTTAACGCAATACTGCTTACTTAAGATAGCAGTATTAGTAAGCTGGGTACCTCAATTAAAAATTGCTGTGATTGACTGATATGAACTTACCGAGGAAGCCACTTCCACGTGATGTTATATCATCGCGCCCCTTTGTCAAGATATACAGCGTGTCGTTACCATCGGGACAATAAATGAACACATGTCTAACGCTACTTGCCAATAATCATAAAAAAATATTAACGTTAAACAAAATCCATAATTAAAAAAAATTTTTTTCAAACAAACTAATTAAGTAAAAAAGAAACAAAATTTGTAACATCCTATACAACTCGCGCCACAGCGTCGCATTACAAGCCTCTCCTTCTAACAGTATGTTTGTCTCTTTTAAATTCATTCAACCCATTCATCTGCTTTGTGACCTTTACAAATGAACTTTACGTTACAGTTTTATACGTAAGGGTGTTCTAAAATTGTTTGTTTTTAATAACTCGGTAAATATTGATGTTTAAAGAATTTAAATGTTTAATACAATTTTAAAAAGTTATCCTCTATATGTGTGTTCATTTATTGTCGCGGTGGTAACGACACGCTGTATACACGAAGAGTGCTAATATATGTAACGTGATTTGAAATCTAAATCACAAAGATTTTCGTTGACTGGTTGTCTGAATTCATCTTGGTCTGTTCTTCACTTTTGAGTTCTGTTGACAAACTGCATCACAGTTTGGCAGAGAATAATTTATGTTATTATACTTTATTACTGGATTAAATAAATTTAAAAAAAAAAGTTCAATAAGTCAATATAGTCCTCAAACTAATTAATCATTCGTGAAGAATATAAGCCGTGATAGCTCAGTGTCCAGGAGCTCGCCTTTAATTCAATATACTCGAGCAACCTGAGTTCGATCCCCGGTGCCGGCACCAATGAAGTTTTTAACTTTAAGTGCTGACTTATCACGTGCTCCGCGGTGAAGGAAAACATCGTGAGGAAACTATGCGTTCTTCTAGTAGGAACTAGGAAACTATGCAACTATTCGAAATAAAAACAAAAAGAAATATTTTTCGAAGATATGTGAAGTCCGCCAATCCGCAGTGGGGCCGCGTGGTGGACTATGCCCTGATACCGTCTGTATAGAGGAGGCCTTTGCCCAGCAGTGGGACATGTATAGGCTGTTACTTTACTTTTTTTTACTTTAAGAATATCGTACGCTCTATGCGACATCAAAGCAGTAAATGAATATGCAGGACTGAGGCCCCTTACTATAGGTAATTTTTCGCTTAAAAGCAACCAACAGTTTTGTAAAAATCCACCACTTATTTTAAAGCAATAGATCTTTTTTTTTATTGCCTCAGTAAGCTACCTGTGCTTGACAATGGGCATAATGTACACCTGGCCATCTTCTACACTGGTCCTGTTCTCTTCCGCGAACACGACCTTGGACCGGCCCATGACTGAGACAGAGGTGGCCCTGCTCGGCAGCCTCTCCTCCATCAGCGCCTTGATGAGCACGCCCTTCTCCGGATACATCCTGGACAAGGTCGGCAGGAGGTACAGCTGCATGCTGTTCTCCTTGGTGCAGGTGGTAAGTTCAGTTTTTTCTTATTTTAAAAAACAACGCCCTTACTTTAGGATAGCATTATCCTGTGTTGTAAGGACGTTTTACAAACATAAATTTCACGCGGACAAACAGCCACATCCGAAGCAACTATGTCGGTCTCACAAATAGTTGTCCCGTGTGGGAATCGAACCGACGACCCCCGACGCCGAAGCCCATACCTTGGCAACTGCGCCACGGAGTTATCTTGTAACTTTCTTACTTTGTGGTTAGTAGTATACGTAACATTTTCATTATCTTGTATTAACTGATGTTTTTGCTTTCAGTTCAGAGACTATTAAAGCTTCATTTTCATTATACTATATAGTTGCATACATACACTAGAAATATGTAGAATATGATAATAGGTTTAATCTTTAATGAATAATAAACCGGTCAAGTGCGAGTCGAACTCGTAAGCCGAGGGTTCCGTACCTACCCATTATGTCGCCATAATAAGACCTAGCAAGTTGAAATTTATACTAGATACTGAGGTCTATAGTCAATTTAGATTTTCGCCAAAACTTGTACCTTGTCCTTAAAAGTGATTTTTCTGTAGAAAAATTTTCGAAAACTTTTTTGCCCCTTCTGGGATTCGAACTAAAACAAAAATAATTATAATTTCCTACAGTAATGTGCGATACGACAAAAAGATACTAATCTCAAACATTAAGACGTAAAAAATTTTTTAATGAAAGAAATGTATGAGCTAATAAAATAGCTATCTCGAAGAATGTCTTAACAACGTAAACAAGATTGTAAAATGTTACGCACCATATAATATTTTATGATGATTGTTATAAAATTAGTGTAGTTTTAATTATGATATATATATAATTATGATATATGTACGATTTGCGTTTTTCGCATATATACTGATCCATAAAAAAGAACTAAAAGAGTACTACAGCAAAACATCGATCATAGAACATCATCATCATAGTACAACAACAACAATCAAACATATCATTGCGGCAATTTCTGGCGTTACAACAATGGACAGAACCCGGAGTGTGGTGAAAGTGTTATTTTGGGTTTCGTCTGTTAGCTGAGAACACCAGGGCACACCAATTTTAATTGTCGGCAGCTGTGTGATAATTACATCTCGTGGACATTTCCAACGCCTGTGTAGTTGCACTTAACTTCAGCTGGACCCTCTTCCGCATAAAGATAGCAGCTAAAAATCTATATTCTCTAGAAAAAAGTGAAAGAACACAAACATAGAAATACATAAAATACTGAAGAATGTCCCGTGTAGATCGGATGAAACAAAATATTTTACAAAAATCATGGACACTCAATGATCGTGATATATTCTTAAGTTTTCAATCAATGCGAAATGCATTACAGTGCTCTTTGTTGCATTAATCTATTTCTTGTTGGCTTCTCCCGAGAGTTCTTGGGAGTTTATTTCTTGTAGGATTCTTCTCACCTGGGTTCTTGGGAGATTTAAAGTCCCAATTTTTGTAGTGAAACTTCTTAGGCGGCAATTCGTAACTTTGAACGGAGTTGAGGGTTTATAGTTAATACAATTTCAAAAAGGTTTGAGAAAGACAATTTTTCGACAGTAGGTTTTTTTTTATTTTTATGTGAAAAGTTGACAAGCGAGCAGGCGGTTCACCTGATGTAACTGAATACCGCCACCCATGGACATCTGCTACACCCGATGGTCACAGATGCGTTGACAACCTTTTGAAAATTGGGCTCCGGCCACCTCATTCACCAGACGAAACGCGAAAGCATTTGTCATACTTCCACTTTACGCCGGTATTCTGTTACACGGATGAGCCTGCCCATTCGTGCAACAGTCGAGGCTGCTGCGTGGCCCTACCAGAGACAAAAGTAGATGGTAAATTTAACCAAATCCTCAAATCGACGTGTTGAAATTTGTTCAAGTTCATCGTCTGATGCCCACAGCTCGCTTGGGCGATTGTGATACTCTGCTACAGAGTGGAGGCGATCCTCACGTCAGTGTTCCTTTCGGGGCTGAGCGGATGCATGTTCCTTGTGGTGCCGATCTACGTCGGCGAGCTCTGCCAGGAGTCGATCAGGGGCATGATGACGTCTGGCGCGATGATCTTCTACGGTATCGGGATGCTCCTCTCTTACCTGATGGGCGGTCTCTTGGCGTACGAGACAATGAACTATGCCTGTCTGACAATGGCCGTGCTGGGCATGGTCTTCCTGATGCTGATAAAGGAGTCCCCGATACACCTGATGAGGAAGGGTCTCGAAAAGGTCTGACATTCATTTATCAAAGTCCCCTGAATATTCTAATGTATTGCTGGTCCACTAATTAGGCTTGGACGATATAAGCATCGACAAGAGTTTGTGATTTTATGTATATTTAATATTTTATGATTTTTTTAAAAATAATTGCCATAACAACAATAGCTCTATGGTATATTTAATGTTTCATTTTATACTTTACCTTATTTAATGTAAATGTCCTATTAAATATAAGTACCTGGAGGACCGAGCTTTGCTCAGTTTGTTTTTTTTGGTAAATCGCGTATTTTGGAAATTACATTTAGATACAAATTACTAAGTAATGAAATATGCATAATATGTTTCGATCTTACCGACGTAATAATAAGAAAATATGAACTGGTGTTTTTCACAAAAGAAAGAACTTTAAAAAAAAGGGAAAAAAATAACAAAATAACAAATCGACAAAAAATAAAAGATAAAGAAAACAATGATCTGGAATCGAAAAAAAGTAAGAAATTAAGTGTGTAAATGATCGTGATACGAACCACGGCCTTCTGTTTCGTGGCTGTTTGTTAGCAGCCGTCCGATTACCGACCGAGCTATTATAACATTTTTTTTTCGGTGAAATTTACCGTCGTATTCGAATAATATTTTTCATTCCCTGAAAACTGGGATAAAACGACATTTTCTAAAAATTAAACCTAGTCAGATCGATTTTTCGCCCTCCGAATCTACGCACATACAATGAGCATATCAATGAGCAAATTCAAGACATTTAATTAAGCGGTGTTGTTTTTCCAAAAATAATAAAGCTATGCTAACCTGCAGGATGCGGCTAGAGTCATCGCGTACTACAGAGGTGCCAAGGTTAATTCCAAGGTGGTTAAGGAGGAAATGCAAATGATTCGTCGTGCTTTGAACCCAGAACTTGACGGTGAGATTCTTTTCTTTATATGAGGTGGTGGCAAGTGAGCAGGTTTATCGTATGTTAAGTGATAACCGCCGCCCATTGACATTGACAGCAGCCGTATGGTTACAGATGCGTCAACACCTTTCAATTAAGTAGGCTCCGACTAGTGACTACCTCACTCACGAGACGAAACGCATAAGTATAACACTTCTTCACGCCGGTCGTCTGTGAGGTCGTAGTACTGGACCTTCCTATTTGCAACAACCAAGACTGTTTTCGTGTCCCTACCTCAGTAAAATCTATGACACGTTATGTCAGGATGGAGCAGCTCACACGTGAAACAATCAAGACTGTTTTCGTGGCCCTACCTCAGTAAAATATATTACGCGTTATCTATTATATCAGAATTCTGGCCCCCTTGTCAATAAAGTAAGAGATAGTGTACATTGAGGGGACTTGCGGTTCACTTATGTGGACTGTTATAGACTCCAGTCTCATCTGTTAAATAATATTTAGTGCGGTCTTACGAAAGTTTCTGTTCTATAAAGGAAACTTCAATGAGTCATTTCTATGTTCGTTCAATCTATGCAGAGGGTATTTATTAATTCGCCCGTATGATATTTTTTTAATGTTTTAAATAAAATATCACAATGGTTTGCAGAATCAACTTCCGAAGTGGAAAATTTACAACCAAAGATGAACGAAAAACTCGAAATTTCTGTGTGGAAATTCTTCAGTGAGTATCGCAGTCACTATAACCGCTGAACTTGCGGCAGCCTCGTATTGGCCATCGTAGCTTAGGACGACCATCCACTAGAAAGAGTGAGTACGGGAAGTCGAAAAATGCAGGTGGCTCACGATAATTGTTCGTGGCAGACTTTAACTTGGCTTTGTTGCAGCAGTGGACTTCAACGGGCGGAAATGATAATGATGACAATTAAGTTAGATTAAATTATAGTTCAGTGTTCCTCTTTAACGGCCGCTTCGATATTCTATCTATCTGTACATTTCGTTACTGGAGATAGAATTTTGACTTAAGTATTAAGTGGAGCTTATGTCAAATACCTATCGCTAGTAACCAAATCTATAGATAGATAGAATATTGAAACCGGCCATTAATGGTTAATAAATAAATAAGTTTGTTCCTAGTAAACAGCAATATACATAGCCCCGATTACATACTGTGGTTGGTAGGTTTTTACGTTGATATTGAAAATATGATAGTTTGAGCAATCTCTCATCGCCGCGTTAGTGTTATTAAAATTGGTTGTTTTTAGTGTAACAGGTTTCGATATAAATAATTGGATTCTACATTTAATTTTCTTTCATAGTATTTTGCACAATTTTAACTTGCAAACCAATGTGCCTATCGTGAGACAGGTGAAACAGTGATCCTTCCTTACGTATTGCTTTCCATCGCTTAACGAACTGTGACAACCGCCGATATATTTCTTGTGTTTAAACAAATTGAATTGACTTGTCTTTAAGAAAAATTGATAAAACACTTTCGGCGCTGCGTGATTCAAACTCGAGTCTTTTGGGTTACGCGGCCAAAATCCCAGTAGGACCTATGATATTTTTTCTTTTGTTTATTAAAATTGTAATTTTTAGGGTTCTGTACCCAAAGAGTAAAACGGGACCCTATTAGTAATAGAATCCCGTTTCTTGCTGTCTGTTTGTCTGTCAGGCTGCCCATGATAGTTAGACAATTGAAATTTTCCCAGATTATGTATTTATTTCCCTTACCGCTATAACAACAAATACTATTTAAGTGGGGCTCCCATACAACGTACACGATTTTTTTGCCGTGTTTATAGATAACTAGCGACCCGCCCCGACTTCGCGCAGATGCGATGTATTATACATATAAACCTTCCTCTTGAATCGCTCTATCCATTAAAAAACCCGCATCAAGATCCGTTGCGTAGTTTTAAAGATCTGAGCATACATAGGGACAGATAGACAGCTGGGTGACTTTGTTTTATGTTAAGTAGTGATGAAACCCTACGGAACCCTTCGTGCGCTTCATGTGCATCCTAAAACTTTCAGGGAAATCGCGGTCGAGCCGCCGCGCACTTCTTGTGTCCATCGTCCTCTACACAGCGGCCATCTTCCAAGGCCTGATGGTGGTGCAGGTGTATGCTGAGCCGCTCTTCGCCGAAGCGGTGCCCACGATATCGCCGACGGTCTGCAGCGTCGTGTCCGCCATAGCGACCGTCGTATCCGGGTTCATAGCCGCCTACCTAATCGAGTGGGCCGGGAGACGGGTGGGTTTCTAAATCCCTGTACGCTCGGCTACAAATGAGAACTTGTCGGGATGGTTAGAGCGAGTTTTAAGAGAATTTAAACAGTCGATAATCAGATAACTAAGCATAAAGGGAAAGCGTTTTTTTTTTTATGTGAAAAGTTGTGCAGACGGTTACCTGATGTTAAGTGAAAACCGCCACCCATGGACATCTGCTATACCCGAGGGTTCCAGAAGCGTTGACAACCTTTTGAAAATTGGGCTCCGGCCAATTCATTCGCCAGACGAAACGCGAAAGTATTATACTTCCACTTTACGCCGGTCTTCTATGAGGTCGTGGTACTTACCCGGACGGGCCTGCCCATTCGTGCAACAGACGAGGTGGCTACGTGGCCCTACCACCGTGTAAAGTGAGCGAGAGAGAGAACCCACGTTGAAGTGGCTTCTGTGATCAGACCATTTAGTTAGGTCCTTAATTAAAATCAAAACCAAGTATACCACTAGGCTACTGCTACTCTTGTAGGGCGTTTTCCCGTGACCATTCCAAGACCTTACGGAAGTAACAAACAAAAAAAAAATACAGTCGAATTGAGACCCTCCTCCTTTTTTGAAGTCGGTCGATGAATACAGAGCGAGATATTTTAAGTCGGTTTTGTTTTTCGTTAGTGATAATAGACACTTTATATCCTACTAGCTGCTGCCCGCTACTACGTTTGCGAAGAATAGCCTGAAGGCGTAACATTCAGACAGAAAGACAGATATACATAATATATATATTATAGCCTATGTCTTATTCTGATGTATAAGCTATATTATTGTAAACTCTCATTAAAATCCATTCAATAGTATTTGCGTGAGAAAAGAGTAACAAACATCCATCCATTTATAATTAATATTATAAAGGCGAAAGTTTGTATGTATGGACTGTTGAATATACTAATGTAAGGAAGTAAGGATACTCTGCCGATTCTCTTCACCCAACCATTTCACATTGCAGCCGCTCATGATATACGCTTCGATCGCCTCCGGCGTGTGCTGCGTGATCCTGGGCACCCAGATCCACGTACACTGGGGCCCGCATTGGATCACCGCGCTCTTCATGTTGCTCTACGTGGTGGCGTACACCTGCGGCGCCGGTACAGTGCCATTCGTTCTGGCGGCGGAGATTTTCCTGCCAGAGGTCAGTATGGGTGGTTGGAGACACCACAGCCATTGGAGGAGTTTCTCAGTTATTCCAAGTTACGCTTCTTTCGGCGCGTTTGGAAAAAACTGTGAGAGTAGGATTCTTACGATTCGCGGGCAGGCATGGGCATGGGCAGGCTCGTTCTGGAAAATCTACGTCCTCATAGAAGACTGGTGTGAAGTCGCGTTTGGTCTGGTTTTTTTTTTGCCACTTTTCAAAGGTTGTCAGCGCAACAGCAAGCCATCGGATGTTGTAGATGTCCACGGGCGGTATTCATTTAACATCAGGTGAACTGGAGCTCGCTTAACAAATTTTCATACAAAAAAAAAAACTTCCTGGTGGTAGCATCGAGATAGTATTAGATGGTAAACTTGTGAACTAAGTAACAGCTCATTATTTCTGGTATTGATGACTAACATTGTAGCAAAGACAAAAAGGATACTGATAAATAGTTCAATTCGATTGTTATAGGCATGATTGTTATAGTTATTTTCTTAATCGTCACAATAGTATTAGCGCATTATCATCGCAACGAAAAATATAGAGGCTAGCGTAAAAAAACTAGATATAAACGTCTTGCGAGGCAAGAGTGGAATTGCCTATACTGAGCTAGTGATTAACGCTACGTCTCTGTTTTCCATCTGGTAACAGTAATCAACTAGCCAGTTCATAATAAAAATATCTCTCTTCTTCTCTCAAATTTAAGGCTCTTGTCGGTGTAGCATCCGTCTCAGTTCAGTTGCAACCCACCATCTTTCTCTGTTCAAAGCCGTTTGCCACCTCCCTATACGACTTAAGATTTGCCGATTATCGGTATATCGTAAGGCGCCACTATGCTGGGACCACACTTCTACTGCTGGGACTAAATTGGTACTAGTATCTTCTTCTTCTTTCTCCTGTCCTTATCTCACACCGACTACTGACTGGAACCAGGTTGTTATTTCAGTTGTTGGCTTTATTTTTATGACGTCAATCCTCCTTGGGAATTCTAGCGAATTTATATTTATCTCACCGATCATATTTTATAACTCGTAGAAAATTAATGATATGCACACACTTAAATCATTTCGGAAAAGGAAACTGTTGTTCCGACCGTCGTAATCTCTTTAAATGCAGTTCAAAAGAATAACTCAACGAGAAGGCACAAATTGGCACTGAGGAATTTCCACTGATTCCAGATAAAGAGCATCGCGTCCATGATCGCCGTGGAGTGGTGCTTCATCTGCAGTTTCGTGGTCCTCTTCATCTTCAACCCGCTGGTGACCGCCATCGGGCTCGGCCCCGTCTTCTACTTCTTCGCCACCGCCTGTTTCCTCTCCGCCGTTTTCAGCATCTTCTTCGTGCCAGAGACCAAAGGCTTAACTGTCGACGTAATACAGAACCTGTTTGCGGCAAAACGCATCGAGAAAGTTTAGCAAATGGTTTAGTAACGTACATTATTATATATGTAATATGGAATTGATAATTGAAATTTTTAACGGCTTTCTTATCCCGTGCTTGTCGGTGACGTAAACTTTAAGAAGAAACCGGCACGGTTAAAAGGTTTGTTGGCCAAGCACTTTACAGTGAAGTTTTGTACTTAACTAAACTTAACTTCCAACGTAGGTATACATAGTTAGACATAGGTTATTAATTTTATTTTAGTATCTTTTTATTCTTTAATTATCTTTGACGACTTTTTATTTTATTGTACTGTATTATTGGGCATGTTTTAAAATATGTCTTGACCGCCTTTAATAGACATTCAATGTTGTACGAATGTATTACGATATATTTTTATTACGTCACGAGTGTAGTGTACTTCTCGTTAGTGGTACTAAATACATAAATAAATAAAAGAAATCAAAGACTGGAAATATTATGAATAAAGATTATGAACTAAAGAAACACTTTAATGAGATTAGTCTTCCTTCGACCAAAACATCATCGATGAAATTCCGTAGGATGTTAAATAAGAAATTAAGATATTATTACTTTTGGTATAGGATGTTGTCGGATCAAATCCCGATGCCAGTGAATTTTCGAAATAATAACAAAAAAAAATTGTAGATCGAAGAGGCTAATGTGAAGTCCGCCAATCGGCAGTGTGGTCGCGTAATGGACCTATGCTAATACAGAAGGTGCAGAGGAGGCTTTTGCCCAGCAGAGACTTAACTTTAAAACATAAAAAATCACTCATCTCTTAAGTCTCCTTGCGTAGAGTACTTTAACTGTGGTAGGGCCACGCAACAGTGTTGCACGAATGGGCAGGTCCGTCCGGGTAAGTACCACGACCTCATGGAAGACCGGCGTGACGTAGAAGTGTTACACTTCTGCGTTTCGTCTGGTGAGTGCCGATTACAATCCTACAGGTGATGCGAATGACCAGGGCGACGGTTATCATTTAACATCAATGTGAGTGTGGCACTGAGTCGAGTCATATGCTGTCCATTTCCAGAACACACTACACAAGAGCATTAATGGTGTGCACACATTATTCTTATAATTTCAATATTCTACTGCTGACAGTGATATTTCAGTGCCTGGCCGCTCGCTTTCTTTTATTAGGTACATCTTTTTTTTAAAAAACATTGCCCTCACTTTAGGATAACATTATCCTGTGTTGTAAGGACGTTTTACAAACATAAATTGCACGAAGGAAACACCCAGATGCGAAACAACTATCTGTGAGTCGCACAAATAGTTGTCCCATGTGGGAATTGAATCCATGACCCCCGACGCCGAAGCCAATACCTCGGCAACTGCGCCACGGAGTCATCAAAATTACAATTTTTCTTCAATATACAATGCCAGCACCAATGAATTACAATTTTAAGTGCTGACCTATCACATAATCAACGGTGAAAGAAAACATCATGAAACCTGCAGAAACTTGGGATAACATTTTTACTGTAACTTAACTAACTTAAGCTATTACATTATTTCATGTCCAACATGTGCAAATCAACTTTTCCTCTCAGCTGTGTGAAAATTGAAAAATAAAAAGCTATAAAATACTTCAGTAGTACCTTATATGTGGTATAATTTTGTATAATCTATAAACATCAACATGTTTACAACAAAAATAATTATTCTTATAATTAAAACATGAATCCCGTCCCAATTTACTTTTTTAAACAATGTTTTACTGATATATGAGATTCATGTGATTGGAATATGATAGAATAAATATATTTTGTACAAAATATAATCACTTCATTATTAATATTGTCCATATCGTCCAATGTCTAATTTGTCCAACTTAAATATAAATAAAGGCAGGAGTTAGTAAATAAATTAATATTATAGTTTAACATTAAAATTATGTGAATGGACCATACATTTTAAACAATAAACAATATTGAAAAAAATGATTGTACACTAAAATATATAGGATAAAAAAATTCTATTAAGAGAACAGTTTTTTATATGTTCTTACATCACAGTAAAGAATGTAGTTTGTGAAATAAACTTAACAACATTATAAAATAATAAAATTTGTAAAATATGATTTATAATGATAAAATCGAATATGAATAATAAAAATAATTACTCATCTACTACTACTACTACATACTAATTACTATCAAGTAATAAAACAGAGTAAATAACATTAAAGTAGCTATAATGACATCAAAAATATGTACTATGAATAGTAAATATATATGTATCTACATATTTTATACAAAGAATATAGCACAAAAAAGTGTCTAAGGTGATTGCACCTTAGATATATTTTTTATTCTTTCTTTCTAAAGGTTTAATATTAGTCAACAGTTGAACAGAACTATTTACCCAAGGCAGGAATGTAGATTTAGTTGCAACAACACATTCCAGTAGCATTATGCAGTCTGCTTCAGCTCTGTGTGCCTCAACGGGTTCTTTTTTCAACAACCTTCTATATAAATCGGATAAAGAGTAACTCATTTTCTCCTTTTCTTTATTTACATCATTCTTCTTCGTTGTTTGTTCATTTTGGACCTTTTTTCTTTTCGACCGTCCGTTTGGGAGTTTTGAATTGTATTCACTGAGTGATGTATTAGAAAGAGATAGTATCACTTCATCTATTTCCTTCCAATCTTCCACAGTGGCATTAAGTTCGGGCCACTCATCATCATCATCGGTCATAATTTCTTCTACTGTTGAGTTTGGGGAACTAGTGTAAACAGGTTTTATAATATCAGCTTCAAGAGAAAGGCCACTTACACTTTTGTCTTTTAAAATTTTCCTAAAGCCAATAAGTGAGTCAACACAGAGCACATCCGTTGGGATTGTTGCATTTGCATCAATGTACTCTGCATTGAGCAGTTTAAAATCAAAGCGATTTCCATTGTGAGCGACCAAGCACACAGGTTTGGGTAGTTCTTCTAAAAAAGAGTTAATAGTCTTTATTTTCGCTTTGAAAACCGGGTGCTGGGCTAACAAATGATTTGATAATCCCGTTAGCTCTTCCACCTTTGGGGTGAGTTTCTTCTGGGGGTTAAAAAGAAGTGACAATTTATTTACTAATGGTAGAGATCCGAGGGAAGTCGATTCGACCTCTTTCGCAGACACGGCCACAAAGGAGAGCTCGGTTATTTTAGTCTCATTTTTCTCTAGTTGCGGCAATCCTGTAGTTTCAATGTCGAAAAAAACTAATGTCGAAATGCTCATTTTATGATTCATCACGTTATTGTAAATTGTCACCGTTTGAAGTTTAATTATGTATTAAAAATTACAGAATCGAATACAATGAAATCTGTATTTTTGGTCTGAACTTTTTCTTGATTTTCCATGTATTATAACAAAATGAATGCAAATACGATTCTGTTAACTAAACATCTTGCAGCAGATATCAGAATAATATTGTTTACATATTTACATCGCTTTGAGTTTGAGTCATTCAATCAATTGTCAAAACTTTAACTTTTTTTATTATTACAGTAAACAGTTTAAAAACTTGGATTTTTCCATACAGCCTATCATTATTACAGGTTCATTGCAAAATATTTTTTTTCCCATAATAAATATTATTCTTCCTTTAATAATTATTTTGTTACATATTCTATTACAATTGAGAATTGACTGACGGAACAATCGGTAAGCGAAACTTATATTGCTTTTGCTATAATTATATTAATAATATTAATAATATTAAAAATAATTATATTTAATAATATTTAAAAAAAAATCGTAAAACTAGTGAACTGTGTTGGTTACTGTGGGGACGTTTATAGTATGTAGTATCGACTCTTAAAAGAGCCTACCCGTGACGTTTTTTCGGTGCTTCTAAAAAGAACTTGTAAACGGTAGTAGTGGTTCTCAAAAGAAACTCACCGAAGATGTTTGTGTTACGTGCACCCAATTAGTGGACTATTTATATTCATTGATAGTTGGAGGATACGGGTTGTAAGATGATTCGATATAAAAAGGACTAATTTAATTTATTTACTTTACACAATACAATTAAAACAAAAGAAAAGCTCGGTTAAGATTGATTCAGCTCGAGAGCTTAAGAGGAAGCCTTATAATACCGTGACGGTGCGAGTCGAGTTTTGGGAGGCCACCGACGTCTAAGAGCGCTTTGACGGACGCTCCATGGAGTAACTAGGCTAAAGGGCCACTGAGACTCACTACCTGTTCAGCATTCCGATTCAAGGGTGCCCGAGAGCGCCGGACCTAGTTTCGATCGGTAGCGGTAGCAGCTGTAGCCTGACTCCTAGTCAGTTGCAGCCTTACTAGGAGAATTTCTATAGTTATCATTACTACCACTTCGGAAAGAGTTGGAGAGCTGGGAGAAGAATTGCAGAAGAAACTCCAGCAACGCTTTTATCAATAACCTGTTTGTCGCACTCGCCGGAGAGTGTGGTGTGGATTTGTGTTTGATTGTTTTATCCTTGAGTGAGTCTTCTCATCATCGGGGAAATCGAGCACGTGTAGCGGTAAGGGTCTGTAGGTGACGGCACCTACAAGCAACGGATTGGAATTAGGCCCCGCTTTCAGTGCGGCTTTTGTTCTGTTTGATGGAGGTGCGCGCGCGCCAGTCAACGTGACCGTGCTAGCGTTGATTCTCCCAACATTGGCCAACCAACGTACAGTTTTTAATACACTTCATTTGTCGTATTTACGAAAATACTAAAATAACTTGCTGCCTAATACAATGCGACGTTTACTGTAAATAAAAAAAATGAGCCGTCACGGGACACCCGGCAGATGTGAAACGTCGACATTATTTTGTGAAAGTAATATGCAGAAAAGGACAGATTGTGATAGGAACTAAATATGTCATAATACGATATTAAAATATTACGATTTTTTTTCCAGATAACGATGACTATTTATTGAATAAACATTTATTTTCATTAAATACAAAAATTTACGAATTTATTTCAAATCGTGACTACTTAATTCGTTTAATCAGTGACTTCGGTAATAGTACACACAATTTTTTTTTTTTTTTTTTTTTTTTTTTTTTATGCGAAAAGTTGTCAAACGAGCAGACGGTTTACCTGATGTTAAGTAAATACCGCCGCCCATGGACATCTGCCACACCCGAGGGTTACAGATGCGTTGACAACCTTTTGAAAATTGGGCTCCGGCTACCTCACTCACCAGACGAAACGCGAAAGTATTTGTCATACTGTCACTTTACGCTGGTCTTCTGTGAGGTCGTGGTACTTACCCGGACGGGCCTGCCCATTCGTGCAACAGCCGAGGCTGCTGCGTGGCCCTACCACCGTTAATTTAATTAATTATGTAACATCAGATGGGCCAGATTGAGTATAGCTGCTCTAAATCATTGAAACTTTTAGTTCTTGACACTGAACCATCCATGGACTATTATAGGCTATTTAACCCATGGACTATTATAGGCTAACTTTACATTGTAGGCTACTTCTCTTACAAAATAATAATAATTTTTCTATCATCTTTCACAGCTATTGTATAGATTCCTATACACCGTTAGTTTTAATTTTCTAAGTACATTGTGTTGTATCTCTATGAAGAAAGAATGAAAAAGTTTATATTGTGATTTTCAATACCCTGCAGTAGAGGAAAATAAATAAGAAAAATTCACTATAGTTCTCAGTGCAACTTTTGATGCAATTCTGCATGAAATAGACAATAATAATAATAATAAAAAAACAAGGAAGCTTCAAATTCAAACCACTGAAAGACAGGTACATAACTCATTAAAGCAAAATGACATATACGTAAAAATTATGTTATCTGTACTCAAACATATACCTAGCGGATTATCAAAACGTATGCTTTAGGGTATATTTTATTGATGTTATTGTGATAACGTAAGCCACATTTGGACAACTATACATACATAAACTATTTATAAAATTAAACAATAACTTTAACGTCACATGTTTTTTTTATTAAAATGTTCCTGGATTCTATATTAATTTGAAAACATCACTTTTGAATTATTTGCAATTAATCAAATTTCAATAAAATTACGATAAAACATGAAATACATTTCAGTATTTATAATTATGAAGAATGGATCATATACTTTATACGATACACTTTATACGATTTATTGCTTTTTATGTAAAAATTCAGTACACTAGGTTAGGTCTCTATCAACTCTTCACTCTCTCAAAGATAACACATGGCGACCGTCTCTCGAAGGTTCAGTAGAAAATAAAATAAAAATCATTATGCAAATGACAGGTAAAATAAGTGTCGTCATCTAGATTTAGAATAATATTTCTTGTCATCTTGTAGCTGTATTGTGGACGTCAATTTTTATATGTGGGACAAAGGACGTAAGCGAGGTTGTGATTCGACTGATTATAAGTGACTAGCTTTTCACCCGCCGCTTCGCTCGCGTTGAAGCCCTTAAATAAATATCTTTCAACCCTTTACTTTATAAAGTAAAGTAAAGGGTTGAAAGATATTTTAAAATATATTTTTAAAATATATTTTTAATAAATAGCCTATGTCCTTTCTCAGGCCCTAGACTATCTGTGTACCAAATTTAATTTAAATCGGTTCAGTAGTTTTGGAGTGAAAGCGAGACAGACAGACAGAGTTACTTTCGCATTTATAATATTAGTACGGATTAACTTCAATAATGTAGATTTAAAAAACTAGTTGAGTTGCAGATGCGTTGTCGTCCTTAAAAAGAGCGGCCCATAAATGCATTTATACTTCAACTAAAAGCCAGCCAGAGGCTCGTGGTATCTCTAACGTGCAGGCTCGAGCAAAACATAGCTCCTATACAACAAAAAATAAATATTTATTAACAAAAACTGAATGGATTTCCAATTTCTCTCTATACCTACTTAAATTTGATTTTGAAGTTCCCTGAAGTATCTCCGCAGTTCAAGGCCTAATACCAATAATTAATAGTAATAAAATTAATATGGGACCGACTATACTATGGGGACTACTAAAATTTATTTTATTTTTTGTCATTTTTAGTTTTTTGTTGTGTGCGTCCATTTTATGATAAAAAAATTATTTTCTTTCTTTCTTTCTTTCTTACACAAGCGAGTTTTTGCAGTCGGTTGATTAACAATACACTTGAGCAATCTGATAACAATCTTAAGTGCCTACTTACCACGTGGGCGGCAGTGAAGCGAAATCGTATCTCATAAGTAACACCTTCCCTACCTTCCGCCCTGCAGGACATATTGTACAATTTTTTATCATTACTTCTTACTTTTACTATTCTTACTAATATTATAAACGCGAAAGTTTGTATGTATGAATGGATGTTTGTTACTCTTTCACGCAAATTTTACTGAATGGATTTTAATGAAACTTTACAATAATAATTATAGCTTATACGTCAGAATAACACATTACATATTTTACAATTACTTTACATTTTATATTACAATTACTATACATATTTTTATGTATATCTGTCTTTGTGTCCGAATGTTACGCCTCAGCCAATTCTACGCAGACGTAGTCGCGGGCAGCAGCTAGTACTAAATATTTCAGAAATTTATATCAACTTAAACGAATTCGTTGAAACCTATGTTTTGAGATAATTCTATTTAAAGTAAACATTACTAATAAAATTATTATAATCTCGATAATTCGCACGCTAAAATATCGACACCCGCTAATGTTAATCGCCTTTTTTAAATTTTCAGTTTTATTAGTCGAAAGTCATTGATCAAATAATAATTATTTAATTGACACCCGGTTTCTTAAACTGTGATCATCGTAGAAGTCAACTAATCAGCTATCAAATGGCTTTTCAAATGTCCATTTAGTTGCCAAAAGGATGCTTAAACTCTTTGAATTGATCATTCTGATAATTAAGAGGATCATTCGGATCAATTCAAAGAGTTAAACCATCCGTTTGGCAACTTAAATAACATTTGAAAAGCCGTTTGTCAGGTGATTAGCTAACTTCTATGATGATCAGTATTTCAGAAAACCGGCCGTTAGACTTTCAATAATTTGCGTTTAATTATTATGAAAACATCTATGCGACAACGGAGTTTACTCCGTTTATCGTGTGACAAACATTGCACTTGAAGGTGAGTGGTGATGTCGTTAGACCGTGTATTAACAAAAACTTTACGTTCACAAATAATACGCAATCGGAAGTACGAAAATTGTTTTGCACATTTCTTCTAACAAAGAAAAATTAACATCCATAACAAAACAAAGGAACATTTAAAATGTTTAATAATTAAATCATGACAAGTCTTTTCAATACCCACAGTCGTTAGGATTCCTTAAAGATACTATTTTTAACATCCAATGGTGGTTTAAATCAAGAGTGATGGCATCACGATTTGTTATGCCATTCATTATTCCGGATAGCAGGCTCTGTTAGAAGTTTTAACAAATTGAAATTTTAACAGAAGCGTATATTAAAATGTTGAGATAAACTGTCGATAACTTTTCAACGCCTGCCAGGAATCGAACCCGCAACTTTTGTGTTGTTTAGGCCTGCTAAAAACACAAGCTAACTTCGATGTTTTCGCGCGGTGAAGACCTAGTGAAGACCTCAGTGGCTACAGCGTCTGGGCTCTAACTTGGAGGTTGCTGGTTCAAATGCTAACAGCCGTGAAAAAAAATTTTCCGCCGAATCATTTACATATTTTGAGTTTAATCTTAAGAGCAGATACTGGCACTAAAAATAATAATTATTTATACAAACGATTATGTTAAATATAGAATTTTTTAGGGTTCCGTATCCAAAGGGTAAAGAAACCTATTACTAAGACCCCGCTGTCTGTCTGTCTGTCTATCACCAAGCGGTGACAGACGGACAGACTGTCAAAATGGTACGTAACCCTTCGTGTGCGAAGTCGTAAGAATGGGCACGAACGAACCAATGAAGAGAGAGAGGGAGATTTATAGGTCAAATAGAACAGATTGCGGCACCCTGAAACGTACATTTTAAAAGTAAATATATACTTTGGAGTAACAAGCAAACCACTGACGTTGCAACATTCGCCTAATCCAGGCAATTTGTCGTTTTCTCTGTTTACTAATTTTATCGCTGTGGTTTGATAAATCCAGTGTTAGGTTCGGCTTGCTCAGTCATTTTGGGCCTTTGGCGAGGCTGGTTCGTTTGAGGGTGTTCCTAGCTGGTGGTTTTGGAATTGACAAACATGGCCGTGTTATATCAGGCGGTTTGCAGCTTTATTGGTGAGCCGGTTGCATTTGGAGGTGATATATATCGGAGGTGGCCGAGCTAGTAAAGATAGATAGATAGTTCGGAGCCATGTTCTGTTTGGTATTTAGGTTTTTAAACCAGAAGAAATGCAAATGGTTGTTTCGAAAGGAGCTGGGTGATGTGAACGATGTATTTAGAAAGGAGCACTTTTATTCTATTGTAAAAAGTGTACTGTTTGTTTGGAGGGCTGTTACTGTAACAATTGTTAACTCTAGTGGCAATCAGCAATAATAAGTGACATATTTTGAACAGTAAATTAAATGCTCCGTTAGTTTTTTGTGAATAGAATTCATAAGAAAGAATTAATAAAAATAACTGATATTAATATCTTACGGACGTGAGTTAAAATTATATATGGGGGATCTCCGCTTTATAGTGTTTTGTTGGAGTCCGCAGTCGAGTCGCTTGGTGGACTGTCTCCTTATACCCTTGGTAACTCTGTGAAGGCTTTAGATATGACGTTAAAGGTTCTGTAAACGACTTGCATTTATGTCAACCATTCTGAAGTTGTTTGTGATGACCGCGGAAAGTGGAAGCCTAGATATCGGAAAGTCCCTCACCATCTGGGTGACAGTTTAAGTATGCATGTAAAGAATCAGCCTATACATGTCGCACTGCTGGGCAAAGGCCTCCTCTGTACAGGGGGTATGCATGTGATTATGTATATTTAATGGCATAATATCTAAATCCTTCTTTCAGTATGCTACGCTTGCTTAACCATGGGCCTGATGTACGCTTGGCCCTCTTCAACCCTGAGGCTGTTCTCGTCCGCCAACACGACCCTGAACCGACCGATGAGCGAGACAGAAGTAGCGCTGCTAGGAAGCCTGTCATCCATCGGAGCCCTTCTTGGAACACCAGTGTCTGGTTTCCTACTTGACACGCTTGGCAGAAAGTACAGCTGTATGCTGTTTTCTTTGCCTCAAGTGGTAAGGAGAGACATTTATAAAGTTCATAACGAATGGATTTTCGAATTACCATGTACGTTATCATCCATGTACTCGTCATCATTTTCATGTTAATATATTCAGCTGCATCTATGTAATCAATTGTGATCTGCGGTATTTCCGGACTGATTCTTATAAACGGCTTTCAAAACAGATTCTATTCGTACCTTGATTTAAGTATTACCCTTAGTCTAGGCATAATTTTGGCGGGTATGTGCATGTCTGAATGTATGCATTTCTGTGAAATAAACATATTATAAAATAGTTATATTAGCCCGCTCGATAGCTCAGCGAGCTATAGAGCAGGATATGCTCGCTATTTTTCTGGTTGATAGAGTTAGTTACGAAGACATCCGTAGAACCAAGGTAACCGATATAGCTCAGAGGATTAGCTAGCCGAAGTGGCGATGGGCCGGTTATATAGCTCGTAGAACCGATAACCGTTGGGGAATAAAGGTTCTCTGGTAGCATCCTAGTACTGGCCACCGCAGTGTTGGGCGACCCTCCACTAAATGGAGTGACGACCCGTGCAACTGTGAGGAAAGTCGATGGATGCATGTGGCTCAGGATCGTACTTCGTGGCAGTCTATGGGGAGACCTATGTTCAGTGAACTCAAACAGGCTGGAATGATGATGATGATGAAGCAGATTAAACATATGAAAATTTGCAGATCGCTTGGGCCATTGTATCAATGAGTAACCGAGTCGAAGCAATCCTTGCGGCAGTTTTCATATCGGGAATTGGCGGCTGCACCTTGTTGGTGGTGCCGGTCTACGTCAGCGAATTCTGCGTGGAGTCTATCAGGGGGATGATGACCTCAGGGGCGATGATCTCGTACGGCCTAGGGTTGCTGACGTCGTACCTCCTCGGCGGATGCCTGGAGTACAACTCAATGAACTACGTGTTCCTCTCGCTATCCGTGTTGGGTGTCGTGATGCTGTGGCCTTTGAAGGAGTCGCCAATGTATTTGATGAAGAGGGGCCTAGAAAAGGTAATTTTCAAATACCGTGTTCACTGCTTTATCTATTAGTTAATCGCTCGCCCCGGTTTCGTAGAAGCTAACAAATAGAAGTAAAGTTGTAAAGTTAATGTTAAATTATGAAATAATCTTATCTTCCAACGTGATTTAGGACGCAGCCAAGGCTGTAGCTTTCTACAGGCAAGTGAAAGAGAATTCAATGGTGGTTGCGAACGAAATAGCGACCATGAAGAGGGCCCTTAATCCTGAACTTGATGGTAAGTTACCATTTTGTTATAAAATGCTCCGTTCCTGAAGGTTCCGTTCACAATTATTATTAAAAAATCGGTTTCACTTTTTAAGTGTACCTTCTTCTCCTTCCTTCTTTAAGTGTCTTCCAATTTCTTAGAGCTCCGTCAGTAACTAGTAGAAAGTAGAATGGAGTTTTGTAATACAGCTGTTAAGCGGTTTTAAACATACGTGCAAATAAAAGAAATAATTCACAAACGTAATCAATAACAGTCATAATGGCACGTATATTATAATGTGAGCGAAGGTTGAATTGGTTTATAAAATAAACTTAGTTGATATCGAACCAAAGATCGCAGTAAAATTATCTGAACCAAGCCACATGGTCATTACCGTTCTTTACAAACATTCAAATGGAGATTGCCTACGCTTGTAAAGACTCCACGGGTGTATAAAATCTTAATCTTTATATGGTGTTTACGTCAGTATAGCGTCTGAACGTAATGTGGGTTTTCCAGATCTACAGCGTCTTACTCTTCTAATTATTGGGGGTAATAACTTTTACTGCAATTGCGTGTTTTGTTTCAAATTACTTTATCATTTTTATTGCCTGTAATGTAAATTATTTCTGAGCTAAATTAATCAAATATACAAATAGTATAATATTTATTGTTTTTCCTTTTTAGATCTTACTCCAGAGGAAGAGAAACTGAAACCAGATTTGAACACTAAGGAGAAGATATCGAAATGGAAGTTTATCAGTAAGTTAAATTTATCTTCTCATAAAATATTTCCGTTAACGTTGAGTATTCTGGTGTATATTCACTATATAGTCCAACAAACTGAGGTCAAATTTCAGTGCCAGTACTAATGAGATCGCGGTGGGGTCGTGTCATAGATAAGACATATATACTGGGTCGTGTGCTGAATCTTTGCCCAGTTGAGCATATACCTACAAGCTGTTACTTTAGTTTAATTTACTCTCATAATTCAATTGCAATCACACAAATCTCCTATCAAACAAGCATAATAGTTTACATATTATGTGCATCCAAGGGTTGGCTGGAAGAAATTTCTTTAATTAATAATGTCTAATTGTTAATTTTAATATTTTTTTTTCATTGCGTGTTCAACAAAGAATATTCATTTCGACTCATTTTAATATAGTTTTAAATGACAGAATATATTTTGTCGTACGTATTAAAACATTTATTTAAAAATAGTCATAGCTTTAATGGACTATATATCGCTAAAGCTAATTATTTGGGTCACTAATTTACCCAATTTTAGCCATATATCTGTGCCTCCTGTGATCAGTGATACAAGTCGAAAATCAACATTTTACAGGAGAGCAAAAACAAGATTAAAAAAATTGTAGTTCATAAAGTGTATAGACTAGGACAAAACTTTGTTCACACTCATATAGATTATAATATTCTCTTTCATCCTGTATTACAGTTTTGTTAAAAAAATTATATAATTTATCGGTAACTCGAAAAAAACATTTGAATTGTACCTTTGTAAAATAAAATATTGGCAAAGAAGATGTGTTACATGATATGAGTAGAGTTAAACCATGTTGCACCTTATTACAGTTTTTGTGAAAACTGATATACGTGTAGTATAAAAACAAAAATAACTTATTAGAACCTCTTCCTATCATAATTGTTTAACCAAATAAAAAATAAATGAAACATCTAGATTCATTTTTTATAGTGTATATCCCCCTGTTGTGATAATTTATTTGAATTGTATCAATTAGCTAAAATCCTCGTGATTTGAAACATGTGTTATATAATACAATTCAAATTATACCTGACTTGAAAAATTATATTGATTGTGTAAATTAATACAACTATTCAAAAAATAATAAAAAACATATTGTACTTCTCTTAAATTATTCTTATCTCATGATTCAATAAAAATTTATAAATTATATATCTAGGATCGGTCATAGCAGATATCACAATAGGTACCTTTCAGTACTTAACAACATATCTGTCGTTTTCGTAAATCATATTCTATAATCGACTATCTAATCTACTCAGAATCATCGTCATTGTCCGGAAGAGAGTCTTTAACGTTTTTTTTTTTTATGGAAAAAGGAGGCAAACGAGCATGCGGGTCACCTGATGGTAAGTGATCACCGCCGCCCATGGACATTTGCAACATCAGTTGAGTCGCAATTGCGTTGCCGGCCTTTAAGGTAGGAATAGGCTCTCTTGTTGAAGGTCCCTAAGTCGTGTCGGTCTGGAAATACCGCTGGCGACAACTCGTTCCACAAAGTAGTTCATTCAAAATTTCGCGAAAAACTCACAGTGGTGGACCGCCAACCATCAAGGTGGTGTCGATGGTACTTGGCGGTTTGACGAGTTGTACGATGGTGAAATTCACCTGCAGATATCAACTGAAGAAAATGCAAAGGGATGCAACATCCCTTCGCAGGGCCAAAGAATCGAGACGATCGGACAGGATTTGGTCGTCGATTATTCGAGCAGCTCTTCGTTGGATGCGGTCAAGTAGTAGGAGCTGGTTTTTCGGTGCCCCAGCACAGAGATGAAAACAGTATTCCATGTGCAGCCGAATCTGTGCTTTGTAAAGCTGCAAACGATGTGCATCCTTCTTCTTTTCTGTTGAAATGGGAATCTTGGAATGGTAAGCTTTTGGTACCGTATAAATTCCTATCATATAGTACACTTTTCCGGGTTTCGATAAATTCATTCATGTTTCCACCGTCTTTGAGCCCTTTTTTGTAAAAAATACGGGGAAAGTTGCCTTAAAGATACATACTCGATATGACATTAGACTACAGAAACTTTTTAATGTCTGTAGTTGTTTTGGGAAGGAATTGTTTAAAAAAGACCGAAGTCGTAAAACATATTCAGAGTCATTTCGATCACAGTAAACTTTGCAGATTTATTTGAAGCTGTGCAGACTAGTATCTACCAATCTCTTGGCAGGTGAATATCAATGCCCGTGTGCTTCTTTTTATGCTCAATCAGCGCATGGTCACTGTCTGCTTCCATGTCAGTATGGCTAGGTACTAGAAATTTATGTTCGATGGATTGTAATTGATATCAGGTATTAACTTCTTTTTCTCGCATAAAGTCTGAAGATACTTGTGGTTTTAGTCAAAAGTCTTCAAAAAACATCCTTTACAAATTGCGTGTTTTGTTATGATCAAACCCGTGAAAGAAGTATCGAAAAAATCTAGCGTTCCGTTTTTTCTTGGGATATTTGGATGTCTTTTTTTTTAAATTCCTAGACTCCAGTATGTTTTGAACAGAGTGTTCCTTAAATGAAACGGTAGTCTCTGTTTGCATTTCTGACGATAGTTGTTTAGATCACGTAAGTCACGAGTTCTTCTTGTTTTTCCTGATGTTGTTGTATATTTCGAGGCAGTGTTACAAAATAGTTTATTTATGTGAGAAGGTGGCACGCGAGCTGTAGGTCCACGTTATGTTAAGTGATAGCCACCGGTCATGGACATTTGCAACTCCTGTAGTGTTACAGGTGCGTTGCAACCGTTTAATAAAGTGGGCTTAGTCAGTCACTTCACTCCCGCACATAACCGCCACCCTCACCTTGTTTTAATTTGTATCGTTTTACACTAAAGTTCGTAGTAAATACTTTTTAGAAAATGTTTACATTTCAGATACAACTCAATTTATTTTAGTGTTCAGATAAGAATAGATATTGTGTGAAATGATGCATGTTGAGATGTATCATTCAGCACATAATTAGGCGAAATTAATATTCAGATCGGTAAGTACATGTCAAGTTGTACCCTGCAAATAACAAAATAAACTTAGGTTCAAGTTGATGTAACTGGAATAAAATTATTTTTCACGAAATATCATTAGATAATCAAATGTGAAAATTGATATTATAGTAGTTATACCACAAAGTACGAAAAAAAATGTGTGGAGTGATACTTTACTGGTGCTATATCACGACTAAAATCAAAATTCACGATTTTTTCATCCAAAATCCCATTAGTTATATCACTTTGCACAAAATTATCTCGAGATCTATAACAGATAGAAACACGTGAGTCAGACTCAAAGCTAGCTTATTTTTTACTGATTGCTTCTGTGTTAAAATCAGAAAAAGGGTACAACTCGAGTTGTATCACTGATCACAGGAGGCACAGATATATTTGTGCTATAACATGTGCGCAATATTCCATTTTAGAGAAGTCGCGGTCTACTCGCCGCGCGATGTACGTGTCGCTGACTCTTTACACGGCGGCCATCTTCCAAGGGCTGGTGGTGGTGCAGGTCTACGCGGAGCCACTCTTCGAGGAGGCCATACCTAGCATGTCCACGACGCTCTCCAGCGTTCTCCTGGCCATCATCACTGTGATAGCCGGCTGTGTAGCCGCCTATCTTGTCGACTGGGCTGGAAGAAGGGTTAGAATTTAGCCAATAGAAACTAATTCATGTAGTGGTTTTCAATCTTGTGTTGGAATTACACTATCTAAATATTTATATGGAGGGGGACTCCGTGGCCCAGTTGCCAAGGTATTGGCTTCGGCATCGGGTTGTGGGTTCGATTCCCACACGGGACAAGTATTTGTGTGACCCAGATAGTTGTTTCTCATCTGGGAGTCTGTCCGCGTGAAATTTATGTTTGTAACGTCCCTACAACACAGGATAATCTTATCCTAAAGTAAGGGCAATGTTTTTAAAAACCTAATATGTATCTGCTTTCAACAGGTAATCATGATTTTCGCTTCCATCGGCGCCGGAGTCTGCTGTTTGGTGCTTGGCACTCAGATCCACTTGCAATGGGGACCGCACTGGATCACCGGCGTCTTCATCTACCTGTTCTGCATCACTTACACCTTCGGAGCGGGCACCGTACCGTTCGTGCTTGTGGCCGAGGTGTTTTTACCAGAGGTGAGCCGTTATCAGATCATTACATTTTTTTTATAAGCTTGTCCGGGGAGTACCCCCCCTTGAAGTATTTTCCTTTTTATCTAATATTTACAAGATTAAATCTATCTAAAATTACATATTATCCAATAAACCTAATCCACGCGGCATGGTGCCAAGAACGCTAGCTGCATTCCCTCGTTATGCTTTTTACTTTTAAATCCATTCAAGCAATTAATATGCTTTTTGACTTTTACAATTAATGAACTTTACGTTACAGTTTTATACGTACGGGTGTACTAAAATTATTTCCTTGGGAAAATTTAATTACTTGGTTGGTTATAAAAAGTTATCCTCTATATGTGTGTTGATTTATTCTCACAGTAGTAGCGCCAAGTTGTATAAAACTTCTATTTTGGGTCCTAAATAATTAAACAAACTTTGTCTTTTCTAAGAATACGCCCCAAAAGCATGTTATTGCTAATCATATAAATAAATTTTGCCTGTTTATAACAGCGCTATTTAGAGATTATCCTGCTCTATCAAATGACCAAATAATTTACCTGACCTAACATTTTTATTTAGTCGTCAAATGTGAACCGGTACTAATTAACTATTAATGCCAAAATATTGTAAATTTTGGATACAAAGAAATTTTTATTAACAAAAATACAAATTTACAATATTGACAAATACTAAATTACATGTTATTGTACAGTCAAGTGACCAGACGGTTCACCTGATGTTAAGTGAATACCGCCATCCATGGACATCTGCTATACCCGAGGGTTCCAGAAGCGTTGACAACCTTTTGAAAATTGGACTCCGGCCAATTCATTCGCCAGACGAAACGCGAAAGTATTATACTTCCACTTTACGCCGGTCTTCTATGAGGTCGTGGTACTTACCCGGATGAGCCTGCCCATTCGTGCAACAGCCGAGGCCGCTGCGTGGCCCTACCACCGTCAAAAACTTGGATTGAACTTAGTTTGCTCGAGTATATTGAATGAAAAGCGAGCGCACACTGCGGACACTGAGTTATCACGGCTCCAATATCTCATTATCTAAAAAAAGTACTCTGCACCAAAGGAACATCCCACTGTTTTAAAGAACACTTTTTCTTTTAAAGAAATATCAAAATGCAACTGTAGATAACTTAAATGAGTGGAATGTCGCTAACAAAATATATTCTCACTGAATTACTCGTTTGTATTTTAAAGCGTTATACTTTGTCTGCTTGTCAAAGTGTTGATGTAAACACGTTGTTGAGTGGTTTTGCGATTTTTTTTTATTAATTCATTACTTTTGAATACCTAAACTTGTTTGTTTTGTAAGTGTTTGGTGGTGGTTTTTGTGGGATTGGTGAGTATTTTTATCTTTACGAGCCATTTCCCTTTTAAGTAAGAGAAATGGATGAGGATAAACCCCCGGATGGGGGTGGTGGACGCCCTCCCGATATTATGATGGAACAGCATGATTCTAATTTTATCTTCCAAACCCCTACTCCTACTAGCTTAAAACCTGAAAGTCACATGAACCGAAAACGCCCGGCTGAAAATAATGAAACTATCAACATTAAAAAAAACTATTCCACCCTCCGTTTCTTATCAGTCCACGTATTCTAAAAAGGGTTACGAAATTGATTCAAAACTTGAATACACTAATTTTGATAAGTCTCCTTTCATAGTCCACGTCACTAGATCCTCTCCTGACATGTCTTCTGGTCAGTCAATTCGTTTACTCAAATTTGCCCAACTTCTACATAAATCCAATGTGTCGGGAATAGTAGAAGGAGGCATTAAATCACTGGGGGGAGAAACAGAGTCCTAATAGAGTTTAAATCGTATTCAGAAGCTAACAACTTTTTATCAAATGATTTCTTACAAGTAAATAACTTTACAGCAATTGTTCCTAGATTTCACATTACCAGGATGGGAGTGGTTAAAAATATTCCTACTGATTGGACGTTAGAAGAGTTGGTAGAGAACATAAAAACACCCTCCAATTGTGGTGAGGTTATTAGGGCTCGTCGTCTTAACACTAAACTACGAACAGATGACAAGGTTACTTGGGTCCCATCTACCTCTGTAGTACTTACTATTACTGGTCAATTACTTCCTGATAGAGTCTTTTGCTATCATTCATCTCTACCTGTTTCAACCTATCAATTACCTACTATACAATGTAGAAACTGCTGTCGGTTTGGACACATTGGTTCACAATGTAGATCAAAACCGAGATGTTATCGCTGTGGTCAGGGACATACTGGGGATACCTGTGAAGTCATTGAAAAAAATTCATATTGCATATTATGTAGGGGAAATCACAGAGCAACTGACACAAAATGTCCTGAGTACTCCAGACAAAAATCAATTAAAATGATTATGTCTCAGGATAACATAAGTTACTCTGAGGCTGCTCTGAGAGTTCCTTCTTCCATATATCCTTATGCTGACATTGCCAGTTCCTCTCACGACAGACATATTGATCCAAACCAAATATCCCAACATCCTCAATCATCTGGTACAATACCAATATCCCAACAAATCTCCTATTCCCTACCATCTACCTCCCAAAACACTCCCCAAAAATCATATTCCAAAACTTATTATAAAACCCCCTGTTCCAAAGCTCCTCTGGGTAAGACATATGATGTCTTAGCTCATAAGAATATAATTAGCTCCCCTCAATCCTCCCAACCCAATGGCTGTGCTCTTACCTCTCCTTTTATAGAGTCAACCCCCATGCTCACTCCTAATGACAACCTTATCGAACTCCTTATCTGCTCTCTTATTAATATGGTTTCCAAATTTTCTGACTCATTACCGAACAATGTCGTTATCCTACTCCAACAACTGCTCGAACGATTGATTACCAAAAATGGCGACAATTCTTCAGTGGAATTGTAGAAGTATTCGTCACAAAAAACATGACCTTATTTTTTTAATTAACAGCTTTAAGCCAGTACTTCTTGCCATCTCGGAGACCTGGTTGAAACCGGGGTCTGTATTCAGGCTTCCGGGTTTTTCATGCCTCCGTGATGACAGAGATGACGGAAAGGCCGGCTGTGCTCTCCTAGTCTCAAGGTCCATTACCTTCTCCCAAATTCCAATCCCTGCCCATAGTTCTGAGCTGCACGTAGTTGCAGTCAAAGCTCATAACATTTCCTATGTATCCTGTTACATCCCGCACCCTAATAGATCCATCATCTCTGAATTAAGTAATATTTTGTCCTCTATCTCTGGTCCTCTCATTATCTCCGGAGATTTTAATTGTCACCATCCTATGTGGGGATCCCACCACATCAATACTCCCTCCTCTTTTTTCCTTGATTTATTAGATGACAATAACCTTTGCATTTTAAATGACGGTTCCCCAACCCGAAGGACTGCTCCCGGACAAAACATCAATGCACCTGACCTAACCCTCTCTTCCCCTTCTTTAGTGAATTATCTTTCATGGTCCATACTACCTAACGCATATGGCAGTGACCATTTTCCCATCTTAATCCAATCCCTTCAACCCTCACCCATCATTCATAGCGTCCCACCACTACAACGGTTTAGACTCTGTGATGCTGATTGGGATAAATATTCTAAAAGCTTAGACACCAAAATCCTTTGTCTCCCTCCTGTGGATTCCTTTAACTTCCTGTCCTTGTATAATGATTTTGTTACCTGTTTGCTTGCGGCTGCTGAAGAATATATTCCTTTAAAAACTCCTCTCGTGGTCGCCTCTCCTCTCCTCCGTGGTGGGACCCAGAATGTACTGCTTCTATCAGATCAAGAAATCAGGCAGAGAAGGTATATGCAGATAATTTAAACATGGAGAATTATCTCGCCTACCGTAAAACCTGTGCTAAAACAAAAAGAACTTTAGCAAAAAAGAAGTCCAAGGGTTGGCTTAATTTCTGCGAATCTCTATCTCCTCGCACTCCCATAACCACAGTATGGCGTAGAATTTCTACTTTTCGTGGAATTTTTGCCGAACAGATCATCTCTTCTAATGACCCTTCAACATGGTTAGATAGCTTTCTAGATAACTTAGCCCCTCCCTTTGTTCCCCCTCATGACTGCTTTCCCCTATCATCTATCCCTTCTTACTCATCTGACAGAATGAACGACCCATTTTCCTACTCTGAGCTCTTGTGTGCTCTTGACAACCTCAAAGATTCCTCTCCAGGCGTTGACGGAATCTCCTATTCATTTATCTGTAAATCTTCTTTTTCATCGAAATTATTCTTCCTTAATATTATAAATGAAATTTTTTCTACTGGACGCGTTCCAGAGTCATGGAGAAGACTCAAATAATCATCCCAATTCTAAAACCTGGTAAGGATCCTAACAACTCATCATCATATCGACCCATTGCCTTATCATCTGTAATGGCAAAAATTTTAGAGCACCTTTTAAAAAATAGATTAGAGTGGTTCCTTGAGAACAGAGGCCTGTTATCAAATACTCAATTTGGTTTCAGACGTGGCATGAGCACTATGGATAGTCTTAGCATCCTTACATCTGAGATAAGACATGCCTTCTCTCATAATGAGCATGTTATTGGGGTCTTCCTTGACATCTCTTCCGCTTATGATAATGTGCAGCTTCCAATACTCAGGCAGAAGATGCTTAATCTGAGTATCCCCGTGAGACTTGTTAACATTATCCTTAACTTATTTACGTGTCGCTCTATCTGTGTCCGTTCTCTTGGCTCTTTCCTTCCTTCCCGCCTCGTCTGGAAGGGTCTCCCTCAAGGCTCAGTCCTAAGTCCCCTACTCTACAACCTATATACTGCCGACCTTGATTCAACTGTTAACTGCTTCTGCAAAATACTTCAGTATGCAGATGATATAGCATTATACGCCACTTGTTCCTCTCTGTCGGATGGATGTACACAATTAAACACCGCTTTGTATTATTTAAATGTTTGGCTTTTGGACCATGGACTAAATTTATCTATACCTAAATGTCAGGCTGTTACTTTTACTCGTAAACGTTACATCCCCCATTTAAGACTCTCTATAGCTG